TTTTTTTGGTTTTTCTCCGGTACCGGGAACTGAACTCACGACCTTGCGCTTGCCAGGCAGGCGCTTTTGCCACTGAGCTAAATCCCCAGCCCCAATTATCCAGAAATTACGTTGTAGTCTTTCTAAACTTTTCTTTCCTCAGGTAAACATGTATTTTTTACCTTTCAAAAAGAGAATTATTATTTCACAGTTTGTAATTTGCTTTTTCACTCTAATATATAGTAAATAAGCAATAAGTGTAGGTCACTGACATTTGAATGGTCACATAACATAATGAATGTACAAGTTAAGCAGTCCATTTCTAGGTTTAGAAAATTGCAGTCTTCTTCATTAATACAGCATTGAAATGAATGTTCTGGCTTTTTTATTTTAAGTCACTAATTTGGGATGGAGTAATGCACATATTAACAAGTTTAGTTTTCTAATTTAAATACCAGTTTTGTGAAAGAACTAAAATAATCTTAATTATTTTCTTGATAATTCCAACTAAGAAATTAGCTATCAAATTTATGATAATTGCAGGTCTATTTTGTTCAGTACTGAGGATTGGGCCCAGGGCCTTTGCACTGAGCTACATCCCTACCTCTTTTTATTTTTTATTTGAGCATAGGGTCTCCCAAGTCTCCAGGCTGTGCTTGAACTTACAGTCCCCTTGCCTAAGGATCCCAAAGCAATATAGATCCATCTTTACTATAACGCACTTTTTGGTGTTTTCTGTAAATGTACGTTTCTTCACTTCTTTCTTTTCCTTAAAAAAAAAAAAGAAAAAATGAGCCCAGAAGCATCTGTGTGTCTCAAAATTGTGAAAGTAGGTGGCTTGTTTCCTGACTGCACCTTTTCTTCCATGGTAGGTGTTGGATGACAAGCTGGTGTTCGTGAAAGTGCATGCACCGTGGGACGTGCTGTGTACGTACGCTGAGCTAATGCACATCAAGTTGCCCCTGAAACCCAATGACCTGAAAACCCGCTCTTCAGCCTTCAGCCATCTCAACTGGTTCACTAAAGTCCTCAGTGTGGACGAAAATATCATCAAGCCGGAGCAAGAGTTCTTCACGGCCCCATTTGAAAAGAACCGAATGAATGATTTCTACATTGTTGATAAAGATGCCTTCTTCAATCCGGCCACCAGAAGTCGCATTGTAAGTCGAAGCTAAATTTATTTAGTTTCTGTCTTAGGGTCATTTGGGACTTATTGTCCAGTTGTTGGTGGTTTGGTTTGGGTGGTATGGTTTCGGTGTTATGTATTTGTTTGTTTGTTTGTTTGTTTTGAGACAAGATCTTGCTGTATAGCTCAGGCTGGCCTTGAGCTCATTTTGTAGCCAAGGTTGGCTTCAGACTCATGGTGATCCTCCTGCCTCAGCCTCCCAAGTGCTGGGATTATAGGCGTGGGCCACCATACCCAGTGACTTGGTTTTGAAAGCTGAAAAACACGAAAAATGCCTACAGATTCCTGTTACAGTGTAAGCAACACTTAGATTGGCTGGCTCTGCTATATAAATCACACACTCCATTTTGGAATCTTTTCTAGGTTTACTTCATCCTCTCGCGGGTCAAGTATCAAGTGATAAACAACGTGAGCAAGTTTGGGATTAACAGACTCGTGAGTTCTGGAATCTACAAGGCAGCGTTCCCGCTCCATGATGTAAGTCGAACGGCGGAAAGGAACCGAGAGGCCTAACGCGTGCGGTGTTGACAGGAGGGAGGGCTGAGCTGCCTGCCTTCACGCTGCTCTCTCGGTAAAATACGGATGATGTTCTCCAGAGTTACAAGCCTCTTGAGGGCAGAGAGGAACCTGAGCATTTTTCACCTGTGGATCTCAGGCGGAAGAGCTGCTGAGATGAAAGGAGTGGATGAAGGAATAAACAGTTTTGCTCCTGCTAAGGGCTGTGGCAGTACCGATTAGCAGCTCCTATGTAGCAGGATTTCTAGGACAGAAACTTCTACTATGTTATTTTTCTGCTTCAATGACCTTGTAAAAGTCATGTACCTGTTCTGTTTCTCAGTTTCCCTGCCTGTAAAGTCAGGGTAATGACAGTCCTCACCTCATAGGGTAGTCATTAGGATTAGTCAATGTCAAATGTTAGTCCCTGGCCTGTATTTAAGTGTTAGCTACTTTTATAATTACTCGCAAGTGCTGTCATTAAATGGAAAGATACGAATTCTTTGTAAGGAAAGTATACGTTAGAAATTCTCATTTATCAATTGACTATGCCGTAGACCTTTTCTCCCTTGAAGCCCCTTTTTTAAACTTGCCCAGGACTATGCCAGGGCTTTTTAAAAGGCACCTGTTGGATTCCTGTCACAGTAGCAGACCTCAGATTGTTGACCTCGGAGTCACGAGACCTTGTATTTCTGTGGCTCCCGTCAGGTGAGGGTCCCTTTTCACAAACGTGACTCCGAAGCGGTCGGGTTGTATTTAGGAAGCAGATGAAAATATGATCACGGTGCTCATTACTTTCCCTCTGGTTCTCAGTGCAAATTCGGCCAACGGTCGGAGGATCCCAGCTGCCCTAACGAGCGGTACCTTCTGTACCGGGAGTGGGCTCATCCGCGCAGCATATACAAAAAGCAGCCCTTGGACCTTATCAGGTGGGTAGTTGTGGGTAGTGCCCTTCCGGTGTCTGAGGGTGACCATACTCCGAGGACACGGCCAGCCCAGGGGCAGATGCTGTGAGCTGGGTTTTTACTGAGCTCTGTCCTGGATTTCTTTTGAAGCTTCCGTACGTAGGCAGGACTGACTGAGTCATCACCCATGTGGCTCAATCCCCAGCCCTTCAGGTCCCTGCAGGCCCATCCAGTACCACGTGGCTCATGACCCTGACTCTGATCATGTGATTGGGCGTCCTAGCTGGGCCATCCTGAGTCATCTCGTTAGCACAGACCACGGCCCACAAGGCTCAGAGCCTCATGGGTATAAACTAATGTGGCGGCCCAGTGGGCCCGCACGAATGCAAAGCTACTCCCGGCTCTCAGAAGATTCTAAGGGCTTGGAGGATCCTTTTAGCAACTGGGAACAAAGACCTGCCAAAGTCCTTATTGGAGAGGAGTAAACATTACATGTAGCTTACACTGCGTGGCAGGAGCTGTAAGTTCTCACTGCTTTTCTGAATCTGCTATGAAGACTGCGTCACGGTGTCTCACAAGAAATAGTGACTAGTTCAGGGCTTGTCTTCACAGGCGTTGTCTGCCCACGCTGGCCGCTGTCCAAAAGACAGTGCTGTCTGGGCCAGGTGAGGATCCTTGCTGCTGGAGAGAGAGACTGGGGAGTGCAGATAAGCCCCTAACAAATTAACAATAGAAAACTCTAATTGGAATAGAGTAACAGAACGATGAGACGGGAGTGCGGGTTGTTAAGAGCAGTTGTCTTGGCGTAGTTGGCGCTTGAGCTGAGACCTGGGTAGTGAAAAGATCTATCTAGTATTTTGAGGATTCGGAAGAAGTCATTCCAGAAATAGAGTCGCTTCTGCAGTGTCCCTGAAACATGCATGCATTTGACAAGATCAAGGCAACAGGAAACCGGTGCTGATGAGGAGGACGGCGAGACACAAAGTCAGAGGGCGGCTGGGGCTCGGGGAGGAGCTCGGAGTCTCCGTGTAGTGAGAAGCGCTTGTGATGCTTGAAGGAATTCTGTCGCAGCCCCAGCTTGCAAGGTGGAGGAGATGGCAGGGAGCACGGAAGCAGGGACACAAGCGAGCCAGGGGAGGGCATGCGATTTTGGGGAACACCGTGGGTGGGTTGGTTGTGGACCGAATGTGGAGCCTGGGGACAGAGGAGGCCCGGGGTGTCCTCACGTCTGTCTGGAGCCGGGTGCCTGCTCTTTCTTTTCACTTCTCAGTGCCGCCCGTAGGTGCCCGGCTTGGGAAAATGCTTTTCCTTTAGAGTGAGAGTTTTTAACACACTTAAATTGTTTGTTTTACATTTTGTTATGGGAAATGCACAAAAGTAGATAATACGGCCAGCCTGAGTGGCTGTATCTCCCCGCTCCAAAAATTTCTCAGCTCACTGCCCTTCTTGTTTCATCTTTATCTCTACCTCCTCCCTTTCCCCTTGGCTGGATCATCCGGAAGCAAATCCCAAATACCATTCATTAACGTCCATTTTTAAGTAGTTTAGGTTTTGGGTTTTGTTGTTTTTGTTTTGCTTTTTGAGACAGGGTCTCTCTGTGTAGGTCAGGCTGATCCTGAACTCACTTTGTAGCCCAGGCTGGCATCAAATTTGGACAGTCCTCTTGCCTCAGCCTCCTGAGTACTGGGATTGCAGGTGTGCACCACCACACCCAGCTCTGAATATTTTAAACATAACCAGAATACCCTTTAAAACAAAAGCGGCAGGGCTGGGGGTTTAGCTCAGCGGCATAGCGACTGCCTGGCAAGCGCAAGGTCGTGACTTCAATTCTTGGTGCCGGAAAAAAAAAAGTGCCAACTCCCTAAATTCATCAGATAATCAGTGTTTAGATTTCCTTAATTGTCTGTAAAAGTATTCATAGTTTTTTTGTTCAAATCAGGATCCAAAATCCGAGTGTTATATTTCAGATTTTCTCTGTAAGGTTTTGTTCTTTTTTTTTTTTTCCATCCAGTTTTCGCAGTAATTCCTTACATCTGGTTTTACTCCCTGCATTCCAGTTTTATTTCCCCCAGTGGCATTGCTGATACTGCTGAACATGCTCCTCTGTTCTGTTCATTTGCCTTAGTTAAGGAATGTGATCCTCGTGTAGGAATTTTACCTACTTTGTGCGAAATACTTCATACTTGGAGTTAGATGCTTTTATCAGAAGGACCATAATATCCAGTCGTCTCTCTTATTCTGTGATGCTAGTAGCCCTTAATAATTCTTGCTTTATAATTTCATAGAAATTTCATTTCAGAATTTCACTTGATCAGACTCTTTCTTTTTTTTGGTACTGGGGATCAAACTCAGGACCTTGCGCTTGCCCGGCAGGCACTTGCGCCCCCAAGCTATATTCCCAGCTCCTGATCAGACTCTTAAATCCCTCGTCCCTCATTTATTAGCTGGATTAAAGTCCCAAGGAGGCACTTTTATTAACCCCATTTTCCCTGTGCAATAAGATTTTAAATGAAGATGTTTGTACATATGTACATACCGTCGGTCATCCCTGGTACTGTGGGGACTGGTTCTAGACCCTCTGAGAATAATAAAATCCACAGATGTCCCAGTCCTCTGCATAAAATGGTGTAATATTTGCATGTAATCTACATGTATATTTACATATACTTGAAGTCACCTCTAAATTATTTGTAATACCTAATATAATGAAAATGTTATATAAATACTGGTGATACTCTGATGTTTTGGGACTAATGACAAAAAATAAAGGGATTGTTTCTCTCCCAGTATTTTCCGTCAGTAGTTGCTTCAGTGCCTCTCCTGTGGAGTGCTGACTGTGTTTAAGATTGACATCGGTGTGAAGTTTTCATTGTTTTAATCTCCTTTTGTATTAAACGTGTATCCTCTGTTGGCAGGGTGGTAGGTAAGCCTTCATCAGTAGAAGACATTTTTCCCACTATTTTAAGTGTAGTTTGCTAAGGAGAGCATGTGTAACTGTTTTCCACCTCTGGTCCGCATGTTCTTCCCCTCACTGCTTCGCTCGTGACCCCGTAAGCATCCAGCTGCTGACCTCCATGAGTGGTTCCCAGGGATTACCTAAAGGGGAGCGAGCTCCTTCCCCGAAAGGGAACTGAGCAAGTTGGAAAGAGCAGCCTATAGGAAGCAGACTTTGCACAGGTAAAGGAAGTTTCCCCTCCAAAGTCCTGTCTTCACCATCAGAGAAAAGAGGATGTGTGCACAAGACGAGAAGGATTCTGTATAAGCACCTTCGTGAGTGTGAAATGTCGCTCATGGGAATGAAAAATGTGATAGCAAAGCTCCAGTAAAAAAAAGTTCAAGACGAAAGATGTTGGGAGGGATTTATTCAGGGAGTGGAAATGCGTAGGCTCCCTCCAGGGTTGAACGTACTGAGGACGTTACAGTTGGGGAGAGTGTGGGCTGAATTTGTAGATAACCACACCGAACACTAAGCAGTGAACCATCGAGACTTGAGGTTAAGTTGAGGAGCTTGTGTCCCTTTTGGTAATGCTTGGGAACTATAGATGACAGTCAAAAGCGTGGATGCTTAAGGGACTATTAGTGAAGCAAAATATTGGGCAGGAAGGACAAAGTGATCATAGCAGATGCTGTGGTTCAGCCGTGAATAGTGAATCATAATAACGTAAAGCGAGAGTGTTTTTTTTTCCGGAACCGGGAATTGAACTCATGACCTCGTGCTTGCCAGGCAGGCACTGTGCCCCTGAGCTAAATCTCCAGCCCCGGGAGAGTCTTGATGTCACCAAATATTGTAATATAACTGTGTAGAAAGAACGGAAGCAGCGATGCGGATGGATGATGAGGCAGGAGGTTGGACAAGAGCTTAGTCCTGACCTTGCAGACTAGAAAGTCAGTGACGAGCCACAGAACTGACAAACAGTACGCTGCGCTTCGTATTAGCAAACTGGAAGAGACCCTCGAAGAGTCAGCTCTGACGGCTGACAGCGGTGCTTGGAGGCAGCAGGGCGCAGGATGTAGGGCATGTGGCTGAGAACAGCTCCTTTTAATAATCAGCCTTCTAGACTTCCCCACCCTGAGCATACACCTGTAACCTCCATAGCTCCAAGCCTATCTTACATATGACTGATGTTAAGAGCTGGATGTTTTTGGCAGAGATAGTCATCAGCGAATATCCCATTCGAAGGAGTTGTTATTCCCGACTTCTGAGAACTAGGAGACAGGTTTCCATAGAAGATATAGGAAACATTGCCAACCTTGCCTACAGCGTAGCAGGAATGACTTAGGAAGTAATGACTTCTCTGCCACTGTAAGTTTCCAAGTAGGGATTATGTGACCATCTCTCTAAATTACAAGATATTTTTACTATTGGGAGGTTGGACCAGGTGACTTGTAAGATTCTTTCTACTTTTAAATGTGACATGTTGAGGCTCAATGGTTTATGAGAACTGTATTAGTCTGTTTCCATTACTATAATGAAATAACTGAAGCCAGGTGTTTTCTAAGGAAAAGAGGTTATTTAGCTCACAGTTTTGGAAGCTGAAGGTCCAAAAAGCTTAGAACCAGGTCTTGGGAAGGTCCCCCAGGTGTATCATGCCACGGCAAGAGGCCACTTCTGAGGGAGAGGTCACATTACAGGAGGCCAGAGAGAGGAGAAGACCTTTTCTCACTCTTTCTGTAACAGCCTCTGGTGAGAACTACTAATTCCTTCTGAGGACGATGCCTTCCGTGACCTCCCGCTGGGTTCATAAAGGTCACAGTGCCTCACGCTTCCACCCTGATGACCAAGTTTCTGACGTGGGCACCCTGAGGTGACACACTTAACCCAATACCGAAGTCGTAGCAGTAACAAATTACGGAAAGCGTAACAGAAGACAGGTTGAGACGTCTCACGCCCACGGCCAGCCTGTTCTCTCCCGGGCACTGTCCTGAGCCTGTCGTTCGTCTGCCATCTCTGAGCCAGACGATAAAGCTCAGTCCCCGGAAAATGCACTTTGTTCCTCCTGCCTTCTAATCTCTCATCGGTCCCGGCCTTCCCCTTCCCCGTAGATGTGGCTTCAGCCCCAGGGGCAGTCCTTCAGCTCGCAGCCCTCCAGCGTAAAGGAATACGTTCACCTGTTTAAGTAGAAAGTTAAAAGGACATGTAGAGGAAAGCTTTCGTATTTTGATATACTTGGATCCTCGCCGCGTTCAGACGGAGTATATTGTTACACTGTGAGTTTCCTTTTGGCCGGTAATGCCACGCCAGAAACGTGCGGCCTGGGGCACACTGCCCGGCACCCCTAGCGACACCACTGCTTCAGCCAGGCCCGTGGCTGTGCCTTGTGGCACCGGTGACCTGCGTTCTACAGGAGGAAGGATAGATATGGTACGAGATACTTTGAGAGACCACGGTCACGTACCACTTACTACAGCGTGGTGATGATTGTTGTATCTTATTATTTGCTATCTTTCTGTGCCTATTTATAAGTCAGATTTTATCATGGGTACATATATATATGGAAAAAGCATAGCATATATAAGATCTAGTCCTCCCAAGGTTTCAGGCATCTACTGGGGGGATTGTGGAACGTGTCCCACGCAGACTGGGGAGACAGTGGTATTATCACGTCATTTCCTTGTTATTGTTTGTGATTTATATCTCCTCCAAAAGAAGTTCTATGTAAAGCCGGGTTACTGAGCGAATTGTCCGTTTATTTCATGCATATTAAAAATAATCTTTCGGACAGTGTGTGAAACAGTGCCGGCATTTACAAAGAGTGAGGATCGTACGCTGCTTCCTCCATATTCAGCATTTTTCCCTGTCTGGTTCTTTTCTAAATTTACTTTGCTTCCACTCGCAAATCAGTGGTAACGATCAGTTCTTGTGTAGTAGTAGGTAGTAAACCTTTTTGCGTCGTAGACTCCAGGATCTGTTCTGAAGATGGGTATGTCTTTAAGGGTGAAGTGAGTTAGGAGTTTATGTGAAGCCTCCTTTATTTAAAATTAAAAAATAAAAAAATATTAGGGTGAAGGTGCTGAGTGACTGTGTGTGTCTTCTAAAACTAATCTGTCTGTCTTCAGGAAATATTACGGAGAGAAGATCGGAATCTACTTTGCTTGGCTGGGCTATTACACGCAGATGCTGCTGCTGGCCGCGGTGGTGGGGGTGGCCTGCTTCCTCTACGGATATCTCAACCAGAATCACTGTACCTGGAGGTAACTTGGCTCCGTGCTTGTTGCCACACTGAAAAGATGGTTAGCTAGAGAATGGTTTTCAGGGTGTTAGGCTGTTCTGGTTAAAAACAAAAAACAAATAACACGCACTGCCTTGGATGGTATATCCTTTATTCTGGGCATCATAACCAAGGGAAACGGAGGAGATTTCTTCTCTGATAATCCGACCAGCCTCTGACAGGAATATTACCCTGAGGAGACACTGCAGTATTTTAAGACAGTACTTTGTTTGAAGAATAAAGGAGGCCTGGCGGAGGTTTGCCCTTGAACTTCGGGCCCCAGAGGAACGCTGCAGCCCGCCCTGCAGATGTGGACCGAGGAGCAGCTCAGATTCCCTCCGAGTTTCAGCGGGAAGGCTGGTGAAGCAGGCGTTTCTCAGTGTTCAGCAGCGGCCTCTCGGTCTATATTGAGCATTGTGTGTTTCACAACTGAGATATCCAGCCATTGTTTCGTGTTTTGCTTTTACAGTAGTATTCCTTTTACAGTAGTATTCCAGGAAAAATTAACGACAGGTAACGCGCTGTGTGGAGCGCTAGAATTCAGACACAGCTGCGCGGTCGCAAGGGAAGTCCCTGCTTGCCCGTGCCCCCGATTTCACCATCTCTGTTCCGCAGTGCGCCGTCCTCCCGCGGCTGGGGGTGGTCCTCCCCTCCAGGAGGGGTGCAGCGCTGGGCCAGGCGGGTTTCTCTTGACCACCTGGCCTCTTTCCAGATGTGGCAGCCAGATGTGGGCACCAGGAGTGACTAGATGACCAAAATTTTCAAGCCCTGAGCGTATCATTCTGGCATCTGCGGCAGAATCCCCCCGGCAGCCCTCACCCACAGGCGTGGTCCCACAGCCCGCTTAGCAGAAGGTTCTGAAGCTTTCGTGCCATTATCTTCTGGGTGAGAAGCTGCAGATGGCTTTTGAGGTGCTTTACCCTCTTCCTTGAGAAAGAGTGTGGAGGCAAAGGCTCGATGTTGCTGTCTTTTTCCTGAATTTCGCCTCAGCATCTTCATTGTTTTCTGTACCACCTCAGCTTCAGAAAACAACAAAGGCATCGCAAAAACACATTTTCAGAGTGAAAATTTGCATGCTTATAAGGTTTCTCAAGTGGTTGTTCTGATTATAACTCACTTTATGAGATCACGGTGATAACCACGTCACACACAGTTCCTGCATTTCACACAGCTTAATTTACTGCAAATGGAGCCAGGGTGTCGGGGTTATACTCCCTGTGGTCAGAACTGTTTGGCTTTAATTATTAAATAGCTTTAAAATGTTTAGAAGGCGTGAATCTTAAATATTTCAATTCTATTATGTACTTAGTAGATTCACAAGAATAGAAAATGTTTTTAAAATGCAAGGAATATCGAGCTGTCACCCAGTATAAGAAAAGGAAGTCAAGTGTGGTGGACATGTTTATAATCCCAGCCTTCTGGGAGGCTGAGACAGGCCTCAACTCTAGTGGGGGTGGGGGGAGGAGCGGGGGAGAGAGAGATAACTTTTTTTTTTCTTTTTGAGACACAGTCTCCTATGCAGTGCAGGCTGGCCTTGAGCTCACTTTGTAGCCCAGGCTGGCCTCGAAGTTGCAAAGTTCCTCCTGCTTCAGCCTCCAGAGTGCTGGGATTACAGGCGTGCACCATCACGCCCGGAAAGATAACATTTTTATTGCTGCCTTTAAGTTTTTTGTTCAATTTTGTCCCTTCCCTTTCTACTTTGGAAAGAATTACTGTACTAAATTTTGTATTTAAAATTCCTTCGTCTGTGCCTTAAAAATACATTTAATTTTGTGTGGCTTTGAAAACATGTATATCCATATATAAGTGGAGAATACCACAGGTATTTCCTCCTCTAAAAAAATGCCTGAAATGTATATCCTTTTCTAAAAAAAGGTTTATGGGGATAAAGATCAGGTAGTGTACATGTACCCACCTAAACTGTGAAGTTCAGTACGCTTTAAGTATACTCACCGACTTCTGCAGGCATCATTACCACCTAGTTCTAGAACATGTCCTGTCTCCTATAAGAGACCTTTGCCCACCAGCGGTCTTCTCCTAACCCTCCTTTCCCTTCGCCCCTGGCAGCCACTCATCTGCCTTGCATTTCTGTGAATTTGTCTATTCTGGACATTTCATGAAAGTGGACCTATAGCAGTACGTGGTCTTTTGTGACTTTTGCTTAGTAGAGTGTTTTCAGAGTTCATCCGTGATGTAGCACTCATCAGCATTTCGTTCCTTTTGTAGACAAAGAATATTCTGTTATATGGCTGTGCCATGTTGTTTATCCCGTGGTCATCGATGGACCCTGGGGTTCCTAACATGCTTTGGCTGTTAGGAATAATTCTCTTGTGACTGTTCATTGATAAGTTTTTATGGGGACGTTTGGTCACAGATCTCTTTAAGAATTTCTGGGGTCCTTGGTGTCCTGTGTTTAACACTTTGAGGAACTGCCCCAGTGTTTTCCAAAGGGCCTGCGCCGTTGTACACTCCTGTCAGCGCTGTCTGAGGATTCCAGTTGCTCCACATTCCAGGCAGCACTTATTTCATGGTTTTTGTTTTATTAATATCAACCATCCTGGTTGGTACAAAGTGTGCGGTTGCTGATCTGTATTTTCCTCCTGCCAGAGATGTGCATCTTCTCGTGTACTGTCATTAGCGTAGCTTCTTTGGAAAAACACCTGTTCAAATCCTCTGCCCACTTTGTGTCCTCTTGTTGCTGCTGAGTTGTGACCGTGCTATGTATATTTGGGACGGCAGTCTCTTACAGCATATTGTCTTAGTCTGTTGGGGCTGTGGTAGCAGAATGCCGTAGACTGGAATGGAGGTTTATTTCTCACAGGTGCAGAGGCCCGAAGTCAAAACTTAAGGTACTAGCCAGCGGTTAGCGTTGGTGCAGGCTGCATCCCCTGGAAGGAATCCTGTGTCCTCATAGGCCAAAAGGGAGAAGCCCGCCTCCCCCCCCCCCCTGTCAGCTCCTCTATGGTTGCATGATTAGGAGAAGGGCACCCGCAGGGCCCTCCCTAAATATTGTCACGCCAGTAGCACCGGAAGTTCAGAGGAAACACATTCAAACCATGGCAGATGTATTAAAAATGTCCTTTCCCATTGTTCGAGTGGTTTTTTCACTTTCTCGTGCTACCCTTTGAGGCACAACCAGTTTTCATTTTTATGATGTCTAGTTTACCTGTTCGCTTTCCCTTGGGTTATTTGTGCTTTTAGTATCATATCTAGAAATTAGTAATCCCAAGGCATGAAGATGTCCAGCGTTTATCTGCTGAGAGTCTAAGTAGTTTCGGTCAGTGATTCATTTGAGCTAAGTTTTGTAAATAGTATGGGGCAGGGTCTTCTCTGTTGTCTTCATGTACGCCTCGAGGTGTCCCACCGTGATCTGTGAAAGGTGCTTTTCCCCGTTGAGTTGTTTGGGCGCCCTTGTTGAAACTTAGTTGCCCTGACTGTGAGAGTTTATTCTCAATTCTTTTTTTTTTTTTTTTTTTTTTTTTTTTTTTTTTTTTGGTTTTTCTCCGGTACCAGGAACCGAACTCACGACCTTGTGCTTGCCAGGCAGGCGCTTTGCCGCTGAGCTAAATTCCCAGCCCCTATTCTCAATTCTTTTCCAGCTATCAACAGTCGGTTTTTTGTGCAGGTGCCGCACTCTATTGGTTACTGTACTTTGTATCAGAGATTGAAATTAGGAACTTCCAAGTCTTGTCCTGTTTTTAAAAAATTAGCTTGGCTGTCCTGCATTTCCACACGGTCTTTATGACTGCTTCGTTCTCCCTGGTTTGGGTCATACTTCTCTGTTTCTTGTTTTTATGTTGAGAATTTGGCATTTTAAATAGTAGAAGACAGTAAATATGGAAATCAGATTTTTCCCTCTCCTCTGGATTTGCTGTTTTTGTATTTTCTGTTATTTCTGCTGCTCTTCTTTGTCTGGTTACTTTCCTGGGGCAGTATTGGGGATTGAACTCAGGGCCTTTACACTGAGCTACATTCCTAGTGCTTTATTTTTTATTTTGACACAAAGTCTTACTAAGTTGCTAAGTTGCATAGCCTGGACTCAAATTTGCAATCTCCCTGCCTCAGTGCTGGGAATATAGGCGTGCACCACCATGGCCAGTTTTCTGGTGCATAATTCTTTGCCAAATTTTCGCATGTTGCAAAACTTTTACCAGTCAGTGTCTAGTTTTTCCCCCTCCCTTTACTAATGTTTTTAACGACATTCTTTCAAAAAATCTTTACTTTGTCAGTATTTTCCTTCATGGTTTATGCTTTGTGGTTTCTTGTTTATGAAATTTCTCCTTCCCTTGAGGTCAGTAGCAATTCTGTCTGTTGCTAAGTTGGCAGTCTTGGCGTTCTTCTTTTCCACCTGGGGTTGACTTGTGTGTGGTGTGATGTTTAATTTCATGTTTTTTCGGATGAATACTCTGGCTGAAAGGTCAGTGCTCGCCTTAGTGATCGGCTGAACCAGCTCTGTCTCAAGTCAGTTTTTGTCCCGGCAGAGGTCTTCATTCCGTTCTGTTGGTTGCCTTTCTGAACCTCTGCCAGGACCTCAGGACTTCTGACTGTTGGGAGCTTTTGTTCCTCCATGGAATTTATAGCTTAAGTGGAAGAGATAGGACGTCTTTATTACTCCTTCCAAATTATGACTATCATAGAGGAAGGTCTTCTGTCTTCTGAACAGTTTTCAAATTGTTGCCATAAATCTGAAGACCTCTTGGACTGAATTTGTCCCTATACTTCTTAAACTACAAAAAATGGCATTTAAAAATCATTTCCTAATTACAGCAAGTAAGGGAAGACACATTCCCTTTTTCTGTGCCTGTATATATTTTGTATATTGATTTGGTATCCATCAAAGTACTAAGCATGTTAATTCTAATAATTACTAAGTTTCATCGAGTGATCTGTAGAGACAGTCATGTAATCTATTAGTGATAAAAGTTTTCTTACCAAGTCTGGTGATGCACGCCTGTAATTCCAGTACGTGGGAGGCTGAAGCAAGAGGATTGCAAGTTCAGGCTGATCCTGGGCACCTTAGCGACTGAGTGGGACCTTGTCTCAGAGTAAAAGGGCTGGGAATGTAGCGTAGTACGAATGCCCTGGGTTCAATCCTGAATGCCACAAATTTTTTTCTTTCTCTCTGACAAATCTGCATGGCTTTATTGTCTTTTATTTATTGTGCTGGGTGGGGCCCCCAACTAAAAAGTGCTGAAAGTGGGGCCTTCTGTCATATTCCTGAGTCAGAGGAAATATTATCAACATTTACTATTATATATGATTTGTATAGATTTTATGTAGCTAACTTTTATCAGGCTAATGAAGTTTTCTTCTTTTGCTAGTTTTATAAAAATACAGTTTTGTTATTTTTTTATTGTAAAGAAAATTTAAAAAAATATAGACAAAAACAAAACAACACAGAAACAATAAAAATTATACAGGGTTTCAAAACAAAATGATACAAATTAACAGTGGCTGTTACATTACAGATTGTTATCTTCAATTACGTTGCTCAGATTACCAGATGTAAGAGTGGAAGATTGAGCAAACCAGTAAAGAGAATAAAAAATAATTTAAAAGATATTAGAAACGATACAGAGCTTCACTAAAGGAGATGGTAGGAATTCACCAGTGGTTGCTGTATTACATACTGTTGTCTTCAGATTAGCTGTTCAGATTACCGGAGAGAGCATGCAAAATAGGTCAAAGAAAAATTAAGCATTAACTGTTCCTTTCAATAAGCCAGCGGATATTAGATTTTATCATACTGCTCTAAGAAGTTCTTCCATTAAAATTTTTACTTCCCTTTTATTTCTCTTTAGCAAAGAAGTCTGTGATCCTGACATTGGTGGAAATATCATAATGTGCCCTCAGTGCGATAAACTTTGTCCGTTCTGGAAGCTCAATATTACCTGCGAGTCCTCAAAGGTAATTTTTTTGTCCGTTTGTTTGTTTTGAGGACAGGGTCTCGCTATGCAGTCCAGGCTGACCTTGAGCTCACTTTGTAGCCCAGGCTGGTCTCGAACTCGCAACGATCCTCCTCAGCCTCCTGAGTGGTGGGATTACAGGCATGCGCCGCCACACCCGGCGGTAATTTTTATTAGCCTAAATATTTACACATAAATGTAACTTTTCAACTCCACCAATCACTTAAGTACAACATAGAAATTATATCTTTTTCCTCTGAAGGATTTGGGAGAGTATTTTTCAACTAAACTTACAGCAGTATGGAAGGTAGTATGTAATATGTGTTTATTCCTCTTTTATAAATAATAGAGATTAAAAGCCTTATCTAAAATCTCATGGAGAGTCAGGAAATGGTAGAATTGAAATAATGTTTCAGGTAATCCAAACAGAGTCTCATACCCAGCTTATTATATGAATACTTTCTGTTAGATTTATTATTTAATGTATTTTCCTTAATTCAAGTGAGTAGAAATGTAAAATTTGTACTTGGGAAATTCATACTTGTGAAGTTTGTGTTTTCTATCTTGCAAAGTATGCTGAAGTTATGCTTGGATTTTTAAAGACCTTGCTGGTCAGATTTAGATTATGTGTATAAATACATACGTGGTTTTGTATATAAGGGAGAAAAGGTATTTGTCTCAAAACATGTCAGCAAACAAATGCATCTAGCTCCCCATGTATGTCCAGGTTGTTTGAGCCCTTAAAACTCAAGGTTTAGGGCAAGATTGAGATCAGAAGGAATGATGTGAAAAGCGGGCTGGAAGTTGCAGGGAGAGGTGAGAGCGGATGGCCAGCCCGCCTCGGGGCATCTCCCTGTCGCCTGTGCCATTCTCCCTCCTCTCCTCTGCTCCCCTTGTCCTGCCTGGGAGTTGAGGAATCAGTCTATAGCCCTAGAGCGCTCAGACCTACTACATGTTCATCTGCTGCCACCAGAATGCGTACTTCATACTTTCCAAAGTTCTTGTGCTGATGTTACTGCTTCTGATACATACACCGGTTAAGGTCACCCAGGAACAGCTGGCAAAGCATTGGCCACCAGTCTGCATCTTGCCATTGCGGAGTTGCTTGACCCCTGGCAGTGCTACCAGCCACCCCACTCTCAAATCCAGATTTACAGTTGAAAACCCATTTCACCACTTGGTTCAGATGGTTGCAAGGCCTTGTCAGCACTTGCTTTTCTGCCCCCTTGTATTATGAATTGAAGTAGACTGCCGTTCCCACACACAGCTATAAATGTCTCTTCTAGACTGCATAAAGTGAAAGGCCTGAAGATGCAGAGAGGAAGGAAGCTGCTTTGCAGTAATGCTGGTTCAAATTAAGGTCACAGCTTACACACCTGGAGGCGCGGGCTTCAGGCAGATGCCGGTGACGATGTGAGAGGCAAATTGTACTCTGAGAAAGCACAGGAGGAAAGTCTGCTTCCCTCCCGCACACTCCCACCACACGCTTCTGCCCTTGTTCTGCTCCGCCCTTAGCGTGTGATTCTCCTGTCTCTCTCTACAGTTCTTTCCGTTGTTTTGGAGACTCGGGAGCCCTTGGTTTTAGTCCAGTTTTGAAAGCTCCCCCACACCTTGCTGGTGTGACTTACAAAAGGAGGAGACATATAAAAGAATATGAAAGAAATGGTGGAATGGAGGGCTGGGGATTTAGCTCAGCGGCACAATGCCTGCCTGGCAAGCGCAAGGTCGTGAGTTTGATTCCCAGTACTGGAAAAAAACCAAAAACAGGAAAAAGAAATGATGGAATGGAAAAGAAAGTTCCAAAAGGGGGCACATTTTCTAGCTTAACTGATGGTTGATTAAGTCACGTGTTCCTTTGTCCCTTCATACCCTTGTTTATGTAACTTCTACCTCTTCCTTTTTGAAAGAGACAGACTAGTGCTAATTGATGTGTACACTAAAAGGATTAACGGAACTATAGATAGTGATATAAAATCAGGACCACGGAAATGAAGAAACAGCTATACAAACAGTAGGATTGATGCTTTTTTACTGTGATTTCACACTGAGAGAGAACGTTAGCCTTGTGGCTCGCGTGATAAAAGGAAACATGGCGAGTTTTAATCTTGTGCTCTTAGACGTACATCTAGTTATAAAGTTTTGATTTTACTCCTTTGAAGGAAGAAAGCGTAACTCGTGCTTAAACGTTCTAATTGGCTTTTGTGCTTGAGGTCATCGTGCCTGCCCTTGCGGCATCCTCTCTTCCCTGCTTCACGTGACTCAGTGTGCGCGGATTCGGGGCTGCCCTTAACATCCTGCCTGGTGCTCTGTGCTGTCTGACTGAGCGGGCCTAGCTGGGCTTGTCGTGAACAAAGCCCCTTGCTTACCTGCTGTGCCTCTTCCCCTTTTCGTGCGGCTCTCGTGGGACACAGCAGAGAAGTCAAACATCTTATTCTTCCTCCTGGATTCTTGATTCTCACACATACTGCAAGAATTTAAACGTACACCGGGCGTGGTGGCATACGCCTGTTAACCCAGCACTCGGGAGGCTGAGGCGGGAGGATCGTTGCAAGTTTGAGACCGGGCTACAAAGTGAGCTCAAGGCCAGCCTGAACTGCATAGCGAGACCCTGTCTCATAAAAGAAAAAAAAAGAATTTAAACTTAAACTGTTAACTTCCTAAATTGTCTCATTCCGTTATTCTTTTAAAAAAAATCCAGCTTCTTCCAGGCCTAACTCCCCCTCCTAGGAAGGCAAAGCCTGTCACTTACCTCGAGCTGTGTAGCCAGGGTGATGCTGGCAGTGACGGTAAACTTGCTGTTCCTCACCACGTGTTTGTCCCTCTACCCCTGAGATACATTTTCATTGACTTTCCTGAAGAGCAGCGCTGGGCTTCACACATAGTAATTTTTATTTCCAGAGGGCGGGGGGCAGAAGTGTCAGGGCCAACAGGGAAGTATCAGAGAGAGAAAGTGTTGCGTTGACTCCTAGCATGGGAGTGACGCTGCAGGGAATCTTTAATTTATAACATGCAAGAGCTGTTTTTCATAGGACTTTCCTTATCATTTACAGTAAAGGTTAAAGCGTAACATGAAGAGACGACTTGGAGATGATTCCGTAAGAGTCAAAACTAAAAAATTTGAAATATGTGCTGTGTGGAATCCCAAGACTAGAGGCGTAGGTGGAGAGCAGTCATGCATTTTTAATACCTCCTGCCTTGAGCTGGGCTTTTTAAAAGAATAATTGAATGGGACAATTTAGGGTCATGCTTTCTGATCGAGATAAATGTGAATGATCAAGGGGACATTTATGTGCTTTGGAAACCAGATGGATAAGTTGATGACTAGGTTTTTTCTTTTTAATAAAGAGAACATGACTAGTGTCTCTCTATAGATAATAGTTCACCCAGTCTCCGTGAGAGTGAAGGACAACCCAAAGCCATATGTTAAACAAAGTAGACTGAATTTTCTTTAGCATCTGGAAGGTTTGCTTTTTTCATCCCTAGCTGCTGCTTCTACCCAGTCTGCATCTTCACTTCGCATTGTTACAAAGTAGGTAGATCTTCGCCACTTTTGCTTTTACCTTCACAGTTTTAAGAAATGTAAAAACAGTTACCGACAAAAAGTTTGTGACCAAGTGAAAGATCTCCCAGGAAGCCATGGAAGGCGATGGGCTATGTTTGTACCAGTACTAGCCACGAAGCCACAACACATTATTCTCCTATTGTTTTGTTATGAAATGTTTTATTTTTTCCATAAAATAAAAAATATTTTTATGACAAATGAAAATTTTGAAATTCAGGTTTCAGTGTCAATAATAAATAAAGCTTTGTTACACGCACACACACACACACACACACACACACACACACACACGAACCCAGACTTAGCAGAACTAAAGAATAGAGCCTTCTTTGGCTGGATAACGTATCTGTGTTACCATTCTGCAATGTTAGAGAAAGCACCTGTGTATCCTTTATCCCAGCAAAAGCACCTGCCAGCCGTAAGATCAAAGCCACCCTTGGGTTTGAGGAGACCAGGCTCTTCTGGAGGAGAGCCGTCTCCACTAAACCCAGCTTTGTCCTTCCTTTAATAAGAAAAGCAGGAATTTTGGAACGTGCTCCTTTGAGGAGGGCGAAGTGACGGGAAGATGCAAATCATAAATCTGAAAGTTGCTTACTGGGCTTTCTGTTGTTGTAACCACCGTATTCCACACATTCATAAAGGAGCCGTTTCTCAGTCCTGACAGAGGCTTTACACGGAGCAGGATCTTACCAGCCACACCTGTTTTCTTCATTGTGATGCGGTAGATGCACTCTATCGTGATGGGAAGACGCGCTCAATGTAGCAAAGGCTGCTTGCTTTTAAACAACGAGAAATTCCGCTGTGAGTTCACACACATACGGTGATTGTTCAACTAGGTATCACCTTTAAAAGACACTCAGACTGCATATACAAGACGTTGCATGTTTACTAAATTCTGATGCATGAAGAACTTGATTCATTTACATGTTATTATTTTCCAGAAATTGTGCATCTTTGACAGTTTTGGAACTCTGATCTTTGCCGTGTTTATGGGAGTGTGGGGTAAGTCTCCATTTTTACACATTCAATTTAATAGTATCAACAGTTTAACGCTCAAACAGCCCACTGTAAGGCCTTGGATTGCCTAAGCTTCAGCTTCGCTAGAGCTTAAAGATAAACACATTTCCATTTTTATCCTGTACAGAGAGGGACAGTAGAGTTCAGGTTAAAGGAAGGCGAGGGAAAGAACTGGCTCAAATTTCATGAAATGAGGAGACATTGATTCATGCAGCTTGTAGAAAGGCTACTGCCAGGTGTCTTCCGCAGTCTCTCTCTTGTGGAATGGTTGTGCTTACGAAGGGTCACCAAATGGATCAGTGAACACAAGACCCAGTGGTGGTGGACACTTTTTAGAGCTGCCACTCCCGGATAAAGTGAACTGTAAAGGTGGCAAACTTACTTGATAAGTGATACTGTCTTTCACATATTTTTGGCGTTTTTGCTGGAGACCACACTCTGGCAAAATTCGACACATAAAAATAAAGATCAGATTTTTGTTCTCAGATCCCCATACTCCTCCATTGTAAAATATGTCTTTGTTTTACAGTAAGAACTCAGGTCCTGAACAAGGGGTCAGTGCTGTTAACGGAGGGCTCACAGTCTCAGCACTGATCTGTAACCTCTGTGACGAATACATCTGCTGAGCTCTGTTGCACTGATGGATGCTGATTGCAAAATAAAGAAAACATTTTAAATAAAGCCAAAAATACACATTAATTTTGCTAAGACAGACCTCAGATTTCCTACCAGCCTTCCTTTTCTCTGATCGCTAACTATTCCAAGTTGACGGAACTGCCTTTTGCACCAGGCTAATTTTATTTGTCTGAGTTGGAGAGTGTGGAAAACATTGTACTGCCCGCAGAGTCAGCTGTAGCTCCTTAAGCGTATGTCTAGATGGTGAACTTGGAGTGCTGTACGCTCCCGTCCTTGTTCCTGCCTTATGAGTGCCGCTGCTGTGAAACTCCTTAGAGAAAGTCTGAGACTGCAGAACCCGGCAGGCGGGAGGCTGAGGTGGAGTTACTCCTATCATCACCTTCCTCTCCGGAGGCGTCCCTTTCATCCGGATGCATGTGGCGCCGAGGGTATTTTTCTCCTCACTGGAAATGATAAAAGTTGAGGGTGGAACACCTCTTATAAGGAATACAGTAAAAATCATACACGTGTATCAAAAATGTCATCCCTTTTAGGTGAAATCAGTATCCCAGTCTTGCTGACTCGTGGAATCCTAAATGCAGCCCATGGTTGTAGTGAAGATTCTGAGCATTCTCACCCTCTCCGTGCCGTGTTGCCTCTTAACTACTTCCACCTGATTCTCCCTGGCTCGGACTCTTGGCCACACAGGCTAGGGTTTTTAATTTCCATATCCGAATGGCAAATGGGCCCTAGTAATTTCCAACAAAAGGAGCTGAGACACCTGGCTCGCTAAGGACCCGTAGAGTCTGGAAGCCTCGCTAGCTTCACACGGGGATCGGGAAATGGCTATGTAGCCGGCGCTTCCGGACCTGTGCCGCTCCTGGGGGTCTGCGGCAGCAGATGGACACAGCGCCTGCCGCCCCGCCTCTGCCTCCATTCAGCTCGGTTTCTGATTTTGGTGACAACACAGGTGTGTCTGACAGTCATTGTAGAAGTCACATCTGAAACTCTAGCTGCAAGAGAGGCTGAAAAGTGTAGTTCCTAACCTCCTTCAAGTTAGAGAAGTGCAGTAGAGACTGAGCAGGCTCATCTACCTCATAGACCTTTGTAAGTGACGAGTCTGGAGAGTTCCAAGGCCTGTTAAAACTATAGATCTTCAGCAGCAAACTCTCTAGTAACGAGAACACTCGCCTCTGCCAGAGCGTGTCTCTTGTCTTTACTCACTACAGAATATAACACCACCGACAGTGTGCTGCTCTGAACCTCTTTTTTGTGTATGGGCATCCTCATCTGATTTCTATTTTCTTTCTTTCTTTTCTTTCTTTCTTTCTTTCTTTCTTTCTTTCTTTCTTTCTTTCTGTCTTTCTCTCTCTCTCTCTCTCTCTCTCTCTCTCTCTCTCTCTCTCTCTCTCTCTTTCTTCCTATCTATCTACCTACCTACCTGTCTACCTATCTAACTCATTCATTCATTCACTCACTCATTCATTTATTGAGACGGGGTCTTGCTGTGGCATTCAGGTTGGCTTTGAACTCATTAAGTAGCCCAGGCTGGCCTTGAACTCATGTCAGTTCTCCTGCCTCAGCCTCCCAGGCACTGGAATTAAAGGCTTGCACCACTATGCCGGGCCCTATTTTCTTTAGAGCTAATAATGACCATGATGGAGAAAAACTGCTTTTTATTCCCAGAACCCAGACAGCCCCCTCTCTCTCACCTTACGTGTTGATGTAAGAGTTGTAACTCATTGACTAGAGCTTCAGCCGTGGTGTGTGATTTACCAGAGAGTGAGAGCGCAGCATTTCCCACTGGAGTTTCACTAGTTGTCTTACTGCAGAGGGAGGGAGCAAAGGCAACAGAATTCCTGTCTGTGATCATGCGGGTCATCCCTTGTCCTGGAGCTCTCTGTCTGGGACGTGCATGTGGACCGCCCTGGGGTGGTCTCGGAGCACAGTACTCTGAAACACTGGTGACCGTGCTAGGTTCCCAGACCTCCCCGAGTCGTTGCCCACGAGGGGTATGAGGAACCAAAACTCCCACCCGTTCCGGAACTCCCAGGGGTTTTGTTTTCAAGGCTGAGAATTTGCTAACAAAACCGTGACATTTCTTGCTTACAGCGCAGTCCTAACAGTTAGGAAGAGAACTGACCCTGAAGTTCAGGATTTCGTAAACATCAACCATTTTACCCCTTGTGTTCTAGTTCGGGGAGAAAAGGGAAGAGTAACCAGTATTCTTTCATAATAATAGCCTTGATTACAATTGCTTATCTTGCTTTGTTGTGAGGAAGGCAGTTTATTTTCATGAATCGTTTCCTGTTGGCACAGTTGCTAGATAGACACTGAGTAGATGGTGTGATTTTAAAGGCGAGGAAAATGGCAAGTAGATGAAGCAAATTATCTAACGCCCTATGCACAGAAAGCAACAAGCACAGAATAAGAAAGAGACCTGCAAACATGGCTGGATCCATGACAAACTGTGATGCACATTAGTAAATTTGTAGCAAGTTTGTGGAGAGGTGAAAAAAATATTTATGTTGATTGATGGAATGGCACTATTTTGTTTGGAGCTATCAAACGTGGGAATGACTTAGGACAGGTCAGCTCCATCTCCTTGGTTCTGTCTCCTGTGACATGGGCATTGACCTCTTCTAACATGAATAAGACTTCACCAGGCTTCCAGGTAATTTCGGTAGGTTTACGAGTACTGGTTTGTTTCATTTATGCATATGGGTGTTGTATTAGTCTGTTTACCATTGCTGTAGCAGAATGCGTGAAGCTGGGTGGTGGATAAAGAAAAGAGATCTATTTAGCTCTCAGTGTGGGACATTCAAGAGCATGGTGCACCACTGGTCCAGCACTGGTGAGGACACTTTGAGCTGTGTCGCATGCTGATAGGGTCATGGCAGGAGTTTGTGTAGGGAGAGCTCACGGCAAGACGGGAAGCCAGGTGCTGGGGAGGGGCCGGTCTTGCTGTTTCATAGCAACCTTCTCCCTTGGGAACTCACTGAGGTCCCGTGAGAACCACACACGTACTTCGAAGGCAGTGTCCCGACTCCTAGTCACCTCGCGCTGGGCCCCACTTCTCCACCGTTCCTCCCTCCAGTTCCCGGCATCAGCACCCAGAGGGCCAAGCTGGGTGTGCGTGAGCCCTGCCGCCACGCCCTCAGACCACAGTGCAGCAGGGCTTTAATGTCCTGAATCACAGTTTCTTCTAAAAGACTACGTTTGTGAAATCTGTGAGGAGGAAAGTGTGCATGGTGATTCCTGCAGTCTGCTGGACTCTGTCTAGCGTCAGGATTTGAGAACTGATGATGGCATCACCAGTGAATTGTCACATGCCCCGTGGTGTACCCTCCACCTCAGGTCAGCCAGACCTTTTCCTGAGGGCTGAGACCTTTCCCTGGTACAGCCGAGAGTGACGGAAAGTAATGCCGTGTGTAGGGAGAGCAGCTGGCGTCAGCTGGAACCTCTGAACGGGCAGTCTCCCACATACTGGGGCACCTCTTAGCGTCTGGCGTGGCTTCTTTCATTCCTTCGTTCACTGCGTGCATTACGTGCCTACCATGTGCTAGCGCTTTGGCTGTGAGCAGGCAGAGTCAGAGCCGCACGAAGGTGATGTTCTTGAGGACGTGATAGACCGTCAGCCTGGACGCAGATGTAGATCAGGACACATGCCTGCTGCCTGGGCTGAAGAGCTGAGAGGGATTGACGTAGGGAATAAAGTACATTCCTTTTAAGAAGACGTACAGCTGTCGCTGGCATGGTCTCACAGTTATGGGGGGCAGAGCTGAGAGAACTTCCGGGATGGGGACATAGGCGACACAGCAGTGGAGTTCTTGGATAAGTTAAAGTGGGGTCTCTGTTTGATGGAAACGCACAGCTGTTTGCCAAGGAGATACGCGGCGTAGGGCGCTTTCGTGAGTGGGCGGCATGTCACCCTGCTTTGCATGCGGCCCTCGATGGCTGGCGCAGGAGCACCTTCCACCGCCAGCAGGAGTCTGCTTAGGGACTGTATGCCGTACGCGGCCAGCGTGGGTTAGGTGGGCAGCGAGGTTGTATCACACCGTGGTCCGTTAAGATTTTCCCCTCATTGACAAAGGTTAGTTCCATCTTTTCACCAGGGACAGGGACAGGGACATACATGCCTAGGAAGACTTTGCTTGTAGAGCCATCACTCCGCTCACTCTTTACAACTTGAGCCTGATTCCAAGCTGCAGGTTATCTCTCCTCTCACGTCCTGGTACAGGAAACGCAGTAGTCAAAGCAAACGCTGCTGGAAAGTGGGAACTTTTAAACACGTCAGTTGTCCTCCCCACTGGGGAGTGCCGGATTCATGCTCCTCAGAGCCGCACCCCAAGATTCCACCCTGTGTCTCAGGGCCTCGCAGGGCCTGCAGCCTTCATTCCTGTGTTCTTCACCATCTACTCGTGTCTCCTCCACCCTAACTGCCTATTAGAGTTTAAAAGCAAAACAGAAGCGTGTGCCCAGCCCCCACTCCGGACCGATTACAGGGGAGTCTTGGAGGTGGTGCCTGGGCTCAGGATTGTTAAAAACTCCTCGGGTGCTGCTCATGTACAGCCAGGTGAGAGCTGGCTCTTCTCAGATGCCTCATGTGGGGACCCCATCGCTCCAGGTCACCCCACACACAGTGACAACTCCTGGCCCAGCCTTGGCCCCCGCATTCTCTGCTGAATGCCTGCCTCTGGCCTGTCTCCTTGAATAGCCCCAGACCCTGATCATCCCTGAGCCAGCTGCCCGCCTCAGCCTTGCTCCTCCGATTTCTGAAGGAGAATTAAAGGCGTTGCCCAAACCAGAAACCTGGCCAGCATCCTTGATGCGTTCCTGTGCCTCTGTCCTACCTGCGTCTCATCGGTCTCACTGCTCACCCTTCCTCAAAGATGTGCCTTATCACCTACCTGCCAGTGGGTCTCCCTGCCTCCCTGTGGGCCACCTCCAGTGTCACCCCCTCCGTGGTGTTAAAACTCTGACTTTGGAGGCACGTTGGGCCCTGGGATGTGTCCTCTGGCCTCCTTGCCCTTTCATGTGCAGTTCTACCTCCTGCCGTCTGCACTCGATCAGCTCAAGAGTCACCTCCTGGTTCGTCACAGTGGTCCCCTCCCCGAGGAGGGCCTTCCCCAAGACACCCAGCTAGATATTCTGGCCATATGCCCAGAGCGACCCGCATGTAGCTTTGTCATGACCCTCTTGCTAGGCTACTGCACTTTCCACACCCGCCTACCTGGGTGCTCCCTGAAGCACAGACTGGGCCTCGTTTGTTCTCAGCACCCCAGCAGACACTGAGAAGTGCTTGTGAGCAGATGGGAGCTAATTCCAGAGTTTCTGCCTCGGAAGGACTTCGGGGCAGCGGCCTGACGGAAAGGGCTGAGGAATTTGCCCTGAACCTGCACCTTCCGTTAACATTTAATGTTTTCCTTTGGTATTCTGAGTTATAAATTCTGAAGAATGAGTCCTAAAAATTATTTTTCATACTGAGGTAGAGACAAATACCAGTTTCCTGTAGAGGGGAGCATTAATTTATTTGGAGGGTTTTAAAACATTCCCTTCTCCTCCAGTCTCTTTGGAAGGAAGAAAGGGAGGGAACAAGACAGAAAGGACGCAGAGGAAAGCAGCTGGAATGGAGGACCGTGATCTGCTTTTGAGTGATGGATTATTTGCGTTTTTAGTTGGCAAGGAAGTGTTGGCAGCAGGACATTCCTGTTAGACGTACTGACAAGCGTCGGGACCCTTCCACGATTACCTTTCCCGTAAACTGTGTCTGTTTCATAAATTGTGTGAATTAGTGTTTCCTTTTAAAAATCATTTTTAACGAGTCACCTATAAATTAGATTCTGCTTACCATATATAGAGGTCTTATGGGTGATTGATAATCAGTGCGAATTTCTGGGACATCGCTCATCATTAAAGATCCACTGGGTCCTGTTCTCTCCCGTCGCTAGTCACGTTGTTCTTGGAGTTCTGGAAGCGGCGCCAGGCAGAGCTGGAGTACGAGTGGGACACCGTGGAGCTGCAGCAGGAAGAGCAAGCCCGACCGGAGTACGAAGCACAGTGCACTCATGTGGTGATAAACGAGATCACGCAGGTAAGGCGGGTGCGACTGGAGGCCGTTCATCTGCTCACTGCGTGGGTCTCAGCCCTGGCTGCCTGCTGGAAGCTCCAAGAATGCCGGTGTCCGGATTCTATCACTGTGCGCTCCGAGGCTGGTCGCCTGCGTGTGTTCTGGGCAGAGTTACTCCTTTGGTTTTCGGTTTTTGTAGCTTCTTTTTTTTTGTTGTTTTTTTCTGGTACCGGGAATCGAACTCACGATCTTGTGCTTGCCAGGCAGGCGCTGTGCCACTGAGCTAAATCCCCAGCCCCGGTTTTGTAGCTTCTCTGGTGATTCTAATGCACCAGCCAAGGTGAAGAGACAGTGTTTAAAGCAGTTGGTACAGTTTGTGTCTTGAGGTCCCCCCAGAGTCATGGGCGGGCTCCTAGAGTTTTTGATGGATCCATGGTCCAATGCTGGGGTTATGGGTGTGAGTGCTGCACCCGTCCTGGGTCGGGGAGCCTGAATGCAATACAAGGGAGGCAGGGAGGCTTGCTTTTTGCTGCTGCTCCCCGCTTTTTGCTCTTGCTGCTTTTGCTGTTTTCTACTACTGTGAACCGTTGCCCTCTGCCATGTGCCACTGTGCCTTGAAACCAACCAGGTATGGACTGAAACCTCCACAAACTTTGAGCTAAACAAACCTTTCCTTCCTTAATTCTGGATGTCAGGTATTTTGTCTCAGCAAGGAGAGAAAAGTAACTGAGACAACAGTAATCCCTGGAAATAACTATGGTACCTTCTTTGATAATAAAGGTAAACATGCCTCCTCAAAACTACACTGAGTTAGCTGTAGAAGGGAGAGTGCGTTCGTTTTTAACGTGGATTCTTAATTCTTCACGTGTACATTCCTAACCGCCCCTTAACCGTCCTAAACTGCTGACCCTTCTTCATCCAGCGCTGAGCCGCAGTCACTGCTCCACCTTCTGGTTGAGACGCGCAAAGAACAGTGTGTCTGTCATCCTGAAGTCAGGGAAGGGGATAGGTGGAGGGCAGCATTGCTTGTGGTGCAGCGAAGCTCAGGCACTGTGCTCAGCGTTTCATGTCGCTGGCAAAGCAGATTTACTGCCGCTGCTGCTACTGCTGCAAAAGAAAAACTATAAATCTGTACTTATTCCAAAGCCTCCAAAAGGTGCTTTTTGAACCCTCTGCATTATTGCTGCTTTCCATCAGCACCGGAAATTTAGAGCTGATTGCGCTCGCCGTCATCAGCATCAGGACAGTCGTTTCCGAATAAGAACCCCTCTTGGAAAGGAAATGCGGCTGAGACCGTCCCCAACTATACATTTCATAAGCTGAATCATAGATTTATAGAATGTTGCCGCTGGAGGGAGCAGTTCAAACTCTTCACTTTATAAACGGAAAAAAATTAGGTTCAGGTGACGTTTATCTCTTACACTGTAACAAGCTTCAAGTAATTCCCATTATGTATAGTTACCGCTGCTCACGAGAGAAGACAGGGTCAAAGCGTGTGTTGTTGACGGGCTATAATCTAGTGTGAAAGCTGCAACTTAGATAAAAATAGATGCTCATTGGGGCTGGGGATTTAGCTCAGTGGCAAAGCGCCTGCCTGGCAAGCGCAAGGTCGTGAGTTCGGTTCCCGGTACCAGAGAAAAAAAACAAAAAAAAAAGAATCTAAATTTATTCTTAGCAACTATAAATTGGAAGCCGTCTTAACATACAAAGCTCAACAAAGAAGCATGTCCTGGATCCCTGGCACTTACAGGCACCCATGAAACTTTTCTTGCCTGGGCTCTGTGCTCTAAAGCCCAAGACCAGCCCCGGAAGCAGCGTTACGGCCTGGCATCGTCAGATGCCGAGACCCCTGCGCTTGGTCATGGCGGAGAACAGTTTGGCGTTCATGCTTGTATTTTCAAAAGCTGTTACTTAAAACACGGCACGTGTTGTGTGTCCGTTTGAAATTATTAACAAAAATATGCAATTACAAGGAAGAAGGCTGTGGTTGCAGACTAATTTAACTAAATGAACCCTAAGATTTATTGGCAGATCGGGAGAAAAGGAATCACATCGGTGTGATCCCCTGTTCAACTGAAGTTTTTTTTTTTTTTGGTACGGGGAATCGAACTCTTGCCAGGCAGGCGCTCGTGCTGCTGAACTATCTCCCCGGCTCTCACCAGAACTTTTTTATCCATCAGGAAGAAGAGCGCATCCCCTTCACCACCTGTGGGAAGTGCATCCGGATAACTCTCTGCGCCAGCGCTGTCTTTTTCTGGGTAAGAAGCGGCCGCAACTATTTTTTGAGTAATTTAAAAGTTACTGTATGAAAATGTTTTCAAGATGGGATTTTAAACACCAAGGAAATAAAAAGCCACGCCGGGCACTCTGTGGTCTCAGAAAGCGCAGGAGAGCAGGAGAGTGCTGTCTCCAGAGAGCCACCCCGTCACCCCCCGCCCCCCCCCCCGCCCCCCCCAGCTCTTCTGGCTTTGAGATGCCGTCCCTGTTCACCGCGCATCTCCCGAGTTTAAATCAAGCCAGGGGCTCAGGATTTTCCAGTTTCTGGTAAAGAAACTAAACGGGAAGCATTAACAACCTGAAAATTTTGCAGCAGCAGCAACCAAGATAAAATGTCTAGGGACAGCCTTTGCTCAAAGATGAGGAGCACTGAAAAATTAAAAATCCGTAAAAATTACTCAGAGGTATAAAAAGAAACCTCAAATGACGTTATATGCAAGGAGACTATTTCTGAATGACTTTAGTTAAAACAACATCTTTAAAATGCTAGAATTTAGTTTTGGTTTACTAATGAAATCATTAGTAAGATAATTTAATGAGATTTTGGATCAAGAACCACGAGATAGGAGGTCAGATTAGAGAACAAGACACTAGAAATAGGTTCTGATATAATAATTTAGAGTAAGAGAGGCGAGGAGGCGTTCTATGTACACAGAACGAGTGAAAATTATTTGGCCAGTTCTGTTTCTTTGTTTGGTTTTTTGGTGGCCAGGTTTAACATTTATTAAAGATAGGAAGAGAAACAGGTATATTGTGCAGAGTGAGTATGGTCCAGGGGAGGAGCACAGCAGCCAGCTGGCCAAGTTCGATGGCACACACCTGTAATCCTAGCAGTTGGGAAGCTGAGGCAGGAGATTGCACATTCCAGGCAATTCTAGGATACACAGAAGGCACAAGGTCAGCCTGAACTACATACTGAGACCTTATCTTAAAAAGCTGGGGAAAAAAAGATTATTCCACAGATGGCAGTGGATACAGAGTGGAGTACTTGTTAGCCAGTGGGAGAAGAAAATAAAGGTTAAACCCGTACTTTCATTCACCACACTCTAATAAATTCCCAAAACATTTTTTAAAAAATGTTAAATCATAAAGTAGAAATACTGTACTAATGAATGCACAGGGTCTAGTAATAGATGGACAGAGGAAAATATTTAAATGCTTTGATAGTGTGAGGTTAAACAAAACACTAGAAGAAAATATTGGTTAATAAAAGTTTGATACCTTTGGAACATAGATTCCAGACCACTTACACAACACCACCAGAAATCACAGTAGCAAAGGAGACAGAGAATGTAATTGGGCCTTTACAGAAGGAAAAAAAGTGACAAATAAGCACAAGAAAAGTCAGACCTCAATAGTAACCCAGTCGGGTGCGCATTAAAATGCGGTCCTGCTTTTCACCGTTCTGCTCTTCTGCTAGGGATCGGGGTCTATTCTCACCCCAGCCTTCCTAGAAAGCAGTTTGGTGACTTGTATTAAGAGTTCAAAAATACTGATATCCTTTAACGCACTCACTTTAGAAACTTTTAATCAACAAATATTTCAGTGCGAATAAAGGTAAAATTTCATCATGGCTGTTTTGCACAGCATCTTACACACACGCTCACACGTATGTGCACATGTATATTCCAGCCAGAATGTCCCACGTCAGACCCAGATACAGCCTGGTGAAGTTGTACACAGGAAAATATTTCATGACGTAAAAATGCTGTCCTTTACAATTCGTTTCAAGAAGGATAAAAATACGTAAAGTGGTTTTAAATAGGCAAGTAATACATAGTTGTGAAAGCAGTATGCTTGTGTGTAAATAGGTGAGTTTTCCTATTTTTTAATATTTTATTTGTTACAGTTAAATATTTCAACTGTAGGTGACAAAAATCAATTTGTGTAGACAAGGGGAAAAAAAGGGAGAGGGTGGGATTTATTGGTTCTGAAAGCTGAAAGTTCTAGATCTGAGCTATACCTTTGGTTCAGGTTTGCCGCTGCAGCTTAAATAACATTGAGGTCTGTGTTGCAGTCTGTTATCATTCTGCCTCAGGTGTCTTCCCAACATGGTGGGTGAAGGTACTGCCCTATGGTAGCAAAGTGACTGCAGCATTCTGGATCTCACCGCATATCTAAGCAAAAGGAAGTCCTGCCTCATGCCTCCCTTTATGATAAAGGAAGCGTCTTTTCTCCTAGGCGCTAACAGATAGCTCCTTACATCTCATTGGCTCTGACTGCTGAAGCCAGTGGGGTGAGAGACCTTATTTGTCTCAAACCAATCAGGATCTGCTGTCATTGGGCAATCCCTCTCCGAATCCAGAGCTGAAAATAGAGGGCTTACACCCGCCGCACGCACTGCCCAAAATAGTATCTGAGCTCTTCTAGGATAAGGAACAGATCCAGTCCAGCAAAACCAACCAGCATCCATTACAGAGTACTCTGAAAACTTCTGCAGTGAGACCATGCTAAAATTATGTCCCAGCAAGCAGATAGAATCAGACCAGTGAAAACCCTGGAGAACAAAGGCGTTCATGTTTCTGTGAAGAAATGTCGATCCAGCACCCTGAAGAGGCATAGAAACTTAGAAAGTTTGTGAAAGCTCCGGAATGCATTAGAATTTATTCCACAAGCCCCCCTGGAGACTGTGCCTTGTAGAGGTCACCGTGCCCTTAGAGTTGTGGGGGATCCCAGCCCTTTTACTGCCAGCTGCTTAATCGTAAGCAAATTGCTTACCGTCTTAGCTTCTGCTGTCTCATCTATAAAAGATACCGTCTACCTCACAGGCCTGTTAGGAGGATTCAACAGTATATATGTGCTGAGGTGAACGATAAGCATTTAAAGAGTGCTATGATAGTCACTTAAATAGTGGTGCAATTTTTAGAATTATGCTCTATTTAAATGCCCTGCCAGTGTGTGGGAGAGCCGGTTGGTGCATTCTCTGCTTTTTCTCAGCCTTAGCAATTTTTACAAACATCCTGATTCGTTTCACAAGTGAACTGTGAAGGGAGGGAGGAAGTGAGCAGGATCACAGGGAAATAGAATGCCTTTGTAAGATTGCTTACTAAGTAAGGAAAATGTTTTTTAACACTGGTCGCCATACATAGTGCTTTTCCTGTGCCTAGACTTGTGTTTTTACCTGTAGTCATCTGTTGTACCCACCACAGTTGTTTGAATTATATTTATGCCCATTGTACAGGTGGGAGAGTTGAGGTCCCGGTGGTTAATTTACTTAAGCTCCTACAGCTCATGGCAGAGTGCAGATTCCCATGCAGGAGTCTGGCTCCAGGCCTGTCCCGGAGTAATCGCTCCTTTCCCTCCACTGGTGACAAGTGACCTCTCTCTCTGTGACTGTCAAGCGTGTGACGTGACTTGCTTGGTCCTGTCTTGTGGCTGTCCCCATGAGCAGTCAGACACACTGAGTTCGTGGCTCTTGAGTAAATCCAGGAAAGCTGGCAGAGGAAAAGCGGTGTAAAGTTGCCTGTCCGATAGCGTCCACTCCCGTATATGGAATAAGAGGAGATCTGTGGCACCTTTAATGCACGCTGCTCAGTGTGCAGAGAAAAGCTGCAGGTAGACCCCTGCCAGGTGCACTGCTTCACATTCCCCCCCCCCCAATGCTGGGGCTGTACGCTTAGAGACACGGAGGATGGGTGAGACGAACCTTGTGGACATGCAGGTGTGCATGGTTGCCAGTGTGAGATCTTGAGATCTGAGCGTGGCAAGCCCAGGAAGGTTTTGTCAGCAGAGACCGTTAGCCCAGGGCACTTCTGAGCAGCTTCATGGCCCGCTCAGCACCTCATCGCTGCAGGATTAAGAGAAAAGCTAGCACCTCCTAACTCTCTAGCCAGTCACAGGTTTCCTGCTGGAGGGGATCGTATCTCCTTAATGGGCATAAAACCCCCAAATTCTAACCTAAACCATTCAGTACTTGTAGCAGGGAGGCTTTCATTAGCCTTGTAGTCACAGACTCTTTTCCCCTTGTTCCGATTTACACTGTCTGGAGATACACTGTTTGTAATAGAAAGCGTAGGATTCCCATATGGATCCCTTCCCACAGTTGCCCTGTTGTAACACCTTACATTAGTGAGCTCAGCCTCCTCGGGCCTCCACCGGTCCTTTCCCTGTCTCGAGTCCGGTTTCGCCCCTCTTCCTGTAACGTTTACGTGAGATTTGCATCGCTTCTCGTATGCACCTTGTTCACTTAAGCACGGGACCAGTTTTTAACGGCAGAACTCCAATCATTGTGAGGCTCATGCTGCTGCGGTCACTGTGCTTTCAGATCCTCCTGATCATCGCTTCGGTGATCGGAATCATCGTCTACAGGCTGTCCGTGTTCATTGTGTTTTCCACAACCCTCCCCAAAAGCTTCAACGGGACAGACCCGATCCAGAAGTACCTGACCCCGCAGATGGCCACGTCCATCACCGCGTCCATCATCAGCTTCATCATCATCATGATTCTGAACACCATCTACGAAAAAGTGGCCATCATGATCACTAACTTCGGTAAAGAGCCGGCCCGAGCTTAGGCCGTTGTATATTCCTTAGGCATTTGCAGGACCTGGTAAAAGAGAGACTGCCTGCCTTTCAGCCACTTAAACTCCTGCAGGTTACAAGTTTGAGAGATTTCTGAGTGGAAACGTATTTTATCCAGCCTGTATCAGAAGTGAATTAGCTACAGCTTTGTCTGAGCGGAAGGGACAAAGCAACGACAGTGGTAATGTCCGAGCTCTGTGTAAACAGATTGGTGCTGAATAATATTTTCAGTTACATTAGATCATGTGCTCTGCTGTCAGAGCAAATACTCTCTTCGTTGCACGTAAGTGGGAGAGAGTCGTGGCTCAGGGACGGATGTGCTCCTCTGCTGAAGACAGGACCAGTGGTCGCACTGCTGCGTGTCTTCCCGTGTGCCGCTCATGTTAGTTCTCACCCCCTCTGGCTTTACCAGTGTTTCTCCTCCTGGTCTGTACCCAGGCAGCAGCTTGGTGACCGAGTGAAGTGCCTCCCACACGCATCTGGGTCACTCTCGGTGTGAACTTCTCAGTGGTCATCTGCAGACAGGACGAGTCAGAGTCCAAAATGGGAGGATGGCCTGTTCTATCTTCCCACATGCCTCTGGCCAGTGGCCCCTTCCTCAGCAAACCCACCTGAGTGTAGCTCAGGAAGATAAGAGAATATCAGCTAGCAGGCAGTTTAAAAATAGCTTTCGTGGTGCCTGTAATTCCAGCACTCGGGAGGCTGAGGCAGGAGGATCATTGTGAGTTCGAGACCAGCTGGGGCTACAAAGTGAGCTCAAGGCCAGCCTGAACTGCACAGTGAGACCCTGTCTCAAAAAAGACAAAAAAAAATCTTTTTCTGCCAATTTAGACCTAAGATCGTACATAGCCTAGGACTTGTCAATTTTAAGGAACAGTTGGAATATAGGTGTATATTTCTATGTACTTACACCTTTTGTGTATATATATTTGTTTTCACATGGGATATAGTCAAGTGGGAAAAGAACTTGAACAACAATATTTAGACTTGGAACTCACATATTGGCTATATTAAGGAACTGAAAACAGTGGAAGTGGAAACGGTGTGATTGTATTTTTTTTCAACATGTTAGCTCATGTATACGTGTCGGATTAAGATCTCAAAGCTATTCGCAAACTGTAGATCTCTCCCTTATTTTACCTACAGAGCTCCCAAGGACCCAGACTGATTATGAGAACAGCCTGACCATGAAGATGTTCCTGTTCCAATTTGTCAACTACTACTCCTCCTGCTTCTACATAGCGTTTTTCAAGGGCAAGTTTGTAGGCTATCCAGGAGACCCGGTGTACTGGCTGGGGAAGTACAGAAATGAAGAGGTACGGAAGCAGAGCTGCGTTCTCCTGACAGTTGAAGCTGCTTTGTGCTTTCTCTCACTTGCCTGATAAATCGTTTCCTCATTGTGTATTCTTTAGCTGTTTTTAGCCTAGACAGAACAAGTGTCAAAAATAAATAGATTTAATAACTGTATTTCTTGCTACACCCATCTAACACCTAAATGAGGTTTTCTTTTGAACATGCTAGTGCGACCCGGGGGGCTGCCTGCTTGAGCTGACGACCCAGCTGACGATCATCATGGGAGGAAAAGCAATCTGGAATAACATACAAGAAGTATTACTTCCGTGAGTATTAAATAGTCACTCCTGAGTGACAGGACGGGGCGCGGGTCAGCCCACCCATCCACGTGGTTTACCTTCATGGCCGCGTAGCTGTATGTCCACTCTACGCGGATCAGAATCTGTTATAATGACAGGCCTTCAGACAAGGTAGTCCAGCCAGCGGTTGAAGCGTATCTAGTATTAAACAGTTTTGTAAGGGCTGGGGATTTAGCTCAGCGGCAAAGCGCCTGCCTGGCAAGCGCAAGGTCGTGAGTTCGGTTCCCGGTACCGGAGAAAAACCAAAAAATAAATAAATAAACAAATAAACAGTTTTGTAAAACCTTCCTTATACTTACTGAAATCCCCACCTGCTGTAGCTGATGCTTCTTAAACTGCCATCGGCGCCAGCTAACCCCAGGCCTTTGAGAAGGCTCTTGTTACAGCTGTGACCTACATTACTTCTCACAGGGCCCTCCACCCTTCCCTTTCTGTGAGAGATTTATGTCAGTGGGAGTGATCTGTTGAATTCTTTGTGTGTGCCAGTCACTGCATTAAGCAATAGATAGTTTATACGTCGTGTCATATTTATAGTTTAATCTTCCGGACTATCCTTATCTCCCTTTGGCAATGACCATCTTTGATTTAAAGAGAGTAACTTACCTAAGTTCACACGGGCAGTGCGGGACTACCGTGTAAGTCAGCACCAGGAGCCCTGACTCCGAACCCATGCAAATTCTGCGGGTGTCCTGGGGCAGAGACGCAGCTCAGTGCTAGAGCACCTGCATGGGATCCATGTGGCCCTGGTTTTGATACGCAACACCACCCAAAAGTTTCTTTAATAAAAGGTTTTTGTGGGGGGGAATCCTAAGGCACAAGGATGCATGCATAATGTTTTAAGAGGTAATTGTCTAAAGTAATGACCACAAAAGTTTCGACGTACCGTTTTTTTCCCTTAAAAATGAGAATAAGAGCCAGACATAATGGCTTGCTCCTCTTATCCCAGTACTCTGGGAGGCTGAAGCAGGAGGATCACAAGTTTGAGCCCAGCCTGCATAACTTAGTGAGACCTTGTCTCAAAAAGGGGTGGGGGCTGGGGCTGTTGCTCAGTCGCGGAGCACCCAGTGTTTGATCCCCAACACTGCTCAGAAAAGCATAGGCTACACCTCAGACATCAGCTAAAATGCTACAGTCCTTTCAGATTTTACCTAAATCCCACCCCGTATCAAAGTGGAAAATCCAGTGCCATCTACATTTTCTGCAGATTGCATGAATCTTATTCTGTTAGTTTTCTGTTGCTGCTGTAACAAGTGTCCATAAATTTTTTTTTTTTTGTACCGGGAATCGAACTCAGGGCCTTGCACTTGCCAGGCAGGCGCTTATGCCACTGAGCTATATCCCTGGCCCAAGTGTCCATAAAATTAATGGGTTAAAACAACACAGAAGTATTGTCTCATGGTCCAGGAAGTCAGAAGTCTGAGCCAGACTTCACTGGGCTGACATCGAGGGGTTGGAGGGTAGTAGCCTGCCTTTCTGGAGGCTTTCAGGGGAAGCTGGTTGCCTCTTCTGGCTTCTACAGGCTGCCCACGTCCTTGGCTTGTGACCTCTCTTCTCCTTCTCAGACCCAGTCATGTTTCATGTCTCTGATTCTTCTGTAGCTCTCTCTCCTCTTCCACCTCTCTCTTCCTCTTTTAGTGAACCCCTCCCTGTTTTTCATTTTTTTTAAGATGGGGTCTCACTGTGTAGTGCAGGCTGGCCTTGAGCTCACTTTGTAGCTCAGGGTGGCCTCGAACTCACAGTGATTCTCCTGCCTCAGCCTCCCAGGTGCTGGGATTACAGGCGTGCGCCACCACACCCAGCTATTGATGACCCTCTTAATGTTGGATCCACACTGATTGCCCAGGATGCCGCCCTGTGTTAAAGTCAGCCAGTTAACAACCTTACTTCCCACCTGCCGTGAACCTGGCACACCCCCGCAATCTGTGGATTAGGAGGGGACCGTGCCTGGGTTGTCCGTTACTCAGTCTACCACCTATTTTTTCAGGGTAATTTCTGGCTCTGGGTTTTGCTGTCACGAACTTATCTTGTGTCTTTCCTCGTGTATCTGTACCCTTCTCTGTGCATGCCGGCCTAAGTGCAGATACGTAGAGCCCGGCTCCCTAAGTCCAGCACATGCGCACATGCACTTGTACTTGTGTTTTGCTGCTTGGGGCTTGAAGTCAGAAACTCAAGTTTATATTTCAAAATGAAAAATCCCCCTCTTTAAACTCTGAACCCCGCTGTGCAACTGGGGGTTAATTTTATGTTTGTCACCCTTCTCTCTCCAGCCTCCTGCCCCGTCTCCCCCGTCACACACAGCTCCTCTTCCTCCTCCTCCTGCCCCTTCGCCTCCCCCACCACCAGGTTTCTCTCTGCTTTATATGTAAAACAGAAGAAAGTCCAAACTCAGTCCCCATTCATTAAAAAGCATTTTCTGTGCCAGGTAGATTAATACTTGAACACGAAGGTTGTTATATCACATACTGTTATCTTCAGCGACGTTGCTCAGGTTACCAGGTGTAAGAGTGCCAGATTGATCAAACTGTTAAAGAGAATAAAAAACTAATAAGAAGAAACATTAGAGACGATACAGAGCTTCACTGGACAAGATGGTAGGAATTCACCAGTGGTTGTTACATTGCGTAGTGTGGTCTTCACACACAAACCCTGTGTCATTTTTAATCTTTTCCCTTCGTTTTGTTTTTGTCTGTGATGTGGGTGTTTTGCTATTCTTTTTTTTACTATTCTCTTTAAAACAGAGAAAAATAAATAAATAATTGAACACTACAGCTTGATAACTCATTCTTGGCAGTGAGCTATTTTCTCAGTTTGAAAAATTAAGAGGCGGGGGTATATATTTTTTAAACTAGCGTTGAGAGGTTAAGGACAAAGTGTAGCATCTGTGACCCATTCGTATTTTCATTTCAAGGAAGCCCATTGTGAACTTTGCCGGTAGATATTTCTGCTGTTGGCCTAAAGTGTTTCTGCTGGATGTTTTTTTTTTTTTTTTTTTTTTTTTTGTTTTTTTTCCGGTACCGGGAACCGAACTCACGACCTTGCACTTGCCAGGCAGGCGCTTTGCCACTGAGCTAAATCCCCAGCCCCTTCTGCTGGATGTTTTAAGTTCTCTTTCCCTTAGCTTGAAAGCTGGAAATGCTAAGTGTTCGCCGAACGCAAGTGGCTTGGGGTGCGGCTGCCTTGTGTCAGCTTGTTTCATGCTTGTTTTGTTTCATACAGAATTGTCCACGGTGATACAGCAGTTCCCCTTGCTGCCCAGAATGTCACCTATCCCCAAAATAAACAGGAGGGGAGAGAGAGGCTTGAGGGTCAATAGCTGTTTTCCTTCTAATATGTCAGAAGGAACATGGTGAGCTGTGTTTCACCAGAACTCTGCCTTCTCCATCCTTTGACGCGCTTGGGGCCAACGTCACGGGTGGGGATTCCCGGAACCAGGGAAGCCCCCGTCTGACACTTCGGCTTCCCTCAGGCGTTCCTCCTGCACCTGGACGGGCCCTGGCGTAGAGCAGGCCCTGGGCACAGACTGTTGATCAGACAAGTGCCACGTATGCTGCAAATACAAAATAGCAATGAATTCCAGAACTGTTAGACCCAGAGGACAATCTCAGCCCTTTGGCCTTTCCAGCTCCACTTAGTATTTTAATGGTTGAGTCATTCTTGGGAATTTGCTTTATACGGTACTTGACAAAGGGTTAGTACAATGCCTGTGTTAAGCAGAGAGAGAGAGAGAGAGAGTTTCATAATACTTTAAGGAAAAATAATGACCATCCAAAATGTGCATGGTGTGTATCCTTTGGTGTGTAGATGGTGGATAGCTATAATTTTCTTCTTATCTCCTCTATATTTTCCACAATGAACATGCACTGATATAATTAGAGAAATGAGCTGTCCTACAAGATGCCCTTTTTCAATATATGATCAGACAGTGAATGAGCCGCAGATACAGAGAGCCCTGAATACAGGTTTCCACTCACCCTTTTAAGTTCAAGAAGAGTGAGCTCACACATGCAATAGCTTCAGATAGTGAACAGTGCTTGGGTTTCCAAATTGTAAGTGGGAATACTGCAGAACGTTCTAAACAGAAATGGAGACTATCTTTAGTATGTAGAAAAATATGGTAAGGAAAAGACCAAGAGAATGTGAGGGTTGAGTACCTCACACTACACATAATAAGTATTTAGTAAGGGGCAACTTGTTCATATTGCAGTTATAGTAATAGGCACAGTTATGTTAACAGGCATTGAAAATTGCTGAGGAGTTCTAGACTTGGCCAGCAGAACAGATACCTGAGCTTGATTTTTTTTTTTTTTTAAATCCTATAGGTAGTTCTCAGGTACAGTCAAGATTGAGATTTCCTACTAGCCCAGTAGAAAACCAAAAGACCAAAGGCAACAGTGGATGTTATTTCTAATCCAGATGAGTGATTCAGCTCTGGAAATCTGATTAAGAAGCTCAGTCTATAGCTCTGCAAACAAAGCTAATGAGAAAGACCTCTCACATGGGCTGACTCGGGGAGGCAGAATAGGAGGAATGCGAAGCGCTAGAACAGCTGGTGATGCAGCGGGACGGAGGTTTCTTCCTGAATCCAAAGCGAGCGGAAGAGCACCTGCTCCTCTGCTTATGGAGAGGGTTCAAAGAGGCCGAGGCTGGCAGTGGGGAGGCAGGGCAAAAACTAAACGGACAGAAGCTAAGGCCAGTAACCTCAGGTTCAGGTGCTGTGAAGGGTGGTGGGCACGTGTGGTCCCTGGTGCCACCTGTGTCACGAGGCCCTGGGGTGGCAGTGGGACAGCAGGTTCTAGGACATTCCTCGGGTCTTTTGATTGCAGGATAGGGAGCTGCACTATTGACCAGCATTTTGTGTCTTTCTTGGAAACTGCAAAATGACAAGCATCGGTCCAGGCGGCCTAGTATCCCCGAGATCCCCAGGCTGAGACTCAGATGACACGGGCTTGTATGTTCGGTTGGCTTCGGCCAGAATCACCTGTGTACGTCAACCGCAAGCCTCATAGAGGGTACGGGTGTGTTTGGAAGTGTGGGATACCCTTTTAGCGGTTTTGAATTTAATCCCTGTAGCAGGCCTGGATAGCAGACATCTTATCACCCTGTTTTAACTTTGCCGAAGTAAAACAGCTAGTAAGCAGTAGAGCCTGGATGTAGATTCCGAGTCGTGGATGTTTGCGGGCCATCTCCTCCCCTGTCCTGCGGCTCTTGCCCTTCCCTGATGTCCGCAGCGAGAAAGCAGGAAAGACGGACGCCCAGCCGGGGGCACATCCGCAGGAAGAGCCCCGTAGTGGGAAGAGAAGGGAGCGGGGAGGGCGGCGGTGAGGAGCAGAGCCGTTGTAACCCTGGCCCAGGCCGGGCTGTGTGCGCGGGGACGTGTGCACGGCGGGGGAGGAGGAGGGTCTGTGTGGTGTTCTCCCGGGCCTGAGAGGGCTCCTGGTCCTCGCTGTCACATTCTGAAAGCCACGCAGACAGAACCGGCTGCAGCTTAGGCGGACGTCGTAGGTGTAGTTGACGTCGCTTGTTGTGCAGCTTCTGTGAGCTCCGCATGTTGTGAGCTCCGCATGCAAGCACAGACCGGCTGCTCCTGGAGGGGACGCTGGCTCTTCACGCTGGAGGTGCGCCGCTCCTGTCACTGCCAGCTCAGGTCCCTTTTCAGGGCAAGTTGCCTTCAAATGTGGAGAAATATTTATCAGAGCCGCAAGGGTTTGAGAGAGGAAAACGTGGCGTGTAAGAAGGCGGGCTGCTCCATGGAGGCAGGTCCGGGGTGCGCAGGGCTAGCCTTCCTGCGGGAGTGTCTCGCTTCTCCCATCCTTACTTTGTTCAGCTTACTACATTCAGCGGCCTCTTTCATGTCGCGGTGACACTGTTCTGCTCAGCACCCTCCCAGGCTCCTCACTTCCTTCAGCTAGAAGCGCCCGCGTCTGAACAGTGGCCAGCAGACTTGTTTGCCGGGAGCCGTGGACCACATGAACCTCCTATGGGGGGTGGGGCCCTACCTCGCCTCAGGCCCTTTGTAGTCGGTGTACCGCTTCCTGGAAGCTCTCGTCCGCAGCTCAGACCTTTTCTCCCCGCTCTTGTCGCTCAGTGAGGTCCCAGCCTTCCCTGTGCCCACATAGAAAGTGACTTTGCCCTGCGCTGGTACTCTGCACAGCACTTCAAACAAGTTCGTGTTCTGTGGCTTTATTTTGCTTATTTTGGTTGATGATGTTCATATTGGAAAGGACATTTTGATGGTAAAGAGGGAGTGTGAGAAAGTAAAATTCATCAAAAGAAAAGAAAATCTTGGGGGCTGGGGATTTAGCTCAGCGGCAAAAGCGCCTGCCTGGCAAGCGCAAGGTCGTGAGTTCGGTTCCCGGTAGCAGAGAAAAACCAAAAAAAGAAAAGAAAATCTTAAACATGGAGCTGCCCACATCCAAAAAAAATTAGCGGTAACAATTTTGACAAATCCAGGTATATAGCTGTAATTTTCAAAGCATGGAGGGGTAGGGGGGCACAAGTAAAAAGAAATTCAACATGTAAATATGAAATTAATTTCTGGGGAAGATTATAGGCTAAGCTTTGAGACGGCAACAAAATGATCTTTGACGATACTCTGATTTATAATTTGATGTTTTTGGCAGCTGGATCATGAATCTAATTGGACGTTATCGCAGAGTTTCTGGATCGGAAAACATAAGCCCACGGTGGGAACAGGATTACCATCTGCAGCCCATGGGAAAACTGGGATTGTTTTATGAGTATCTTGAAATGAGTAAGTTGCTAAGTAACATTTTCAGTGATATGAAATGTTGGAGCGTGTTTTAGAGTCCGAAAGCATCGCTTACAGAGCCAGGTGATCATTGAGTGTATTGAAATGGAGTATGTTTTTCTCCCCTGTATAAAATTTATAAGGTGGCCGTGTGTGCCTTATGTCGGTTGAAGCTAAGTATTTATTACTGAGTAGTGAAGTGGAATGTTCATCGAAGTACTTCTTCACCATGAAAACATGCTGATCCTGGGGTCTGAGGATGGGCTTAGTGTCTTTCTTCGGATATGGTTCAGCTTGGGCAGGAGCTCATGCGGGCACGCCTTGGTGCTTACAGCTCTGAACGTCACTTAAGAAAGCCTGCAGGAGTGTGCTGTTTGCCGGGGCTCACAGGCACCCACACCACACTCCTGCCTTGGGCGGCCTTTCGGCCAGTGGTTTCCACCCGCTTCCTTAAGCGGCCGAGGTAAGATTCAGCAAACGGGTCGCCTCATTGCCGGACACCTTTGCGCATTTGTGTATTACTTGCTTGGGTTCTGCTTCTCCTCAGTTTAATCTAATTTCGAGTTCTGTGGTGCTTTTCACATGGATCCCAAAGTAGATTTCCATAGAAAACTTCTCTATTATGCCTGACACACTTGTATCTAATAGACAGCTAACAATTTACATGTTTTGTACTTCTGCCCTTTCAGCTAACCATTGCATTGAATTACAGGTTTTTTAACCATAGGAGAATAGAAAAAGAGGTACAAAATTTTGTTTGAATGTATACGTAGGGATCTTTGTGTTTGCAAGGACACCCTTTGCAGTTCCTATTTACAAGTCTGCAGATGGAGATGGTTCTTATGAGGTAACATTCTATGTATAAAATAATTGCTTTCAGAAGTAGACCTTATGCGTGGAAGCACATCTTTCTTTGTTGAGTGAAAGGTTCATTTCAAGGCTCCTTTAGTCAGCAGTCCTCTGCGGCAGCCTGGGGTCTGCTTTGAAGTTCATTTCTGCTTGTTTTGTGATCAGGATTTATTAAGGGTGTAGTTACAGTACATGATGTAGAAGCTGTATTTTATTTATTTTCAAAAGGACTGCAAGATAATTACTCATTATTCCAAAAGGAGTCATAATTATAAAGATTTCTTATTGCAGCCTCTATCAACATTAATGACATCAGCCTGGTACAAAATGTTATTTTAGCTCCCGCCTCCCAAAAAAAAACTTGGGAAAAAGTTACAGTTGTTAAGTCAAATAAGTGACGTTGAAAAGAAAAGTTTTATAGTCATACTTTGGGGAGAAGTTGACCAGACTTTTACAGATTCATAGGTTTATTAAAACAGTTGTGAACGAAATAATTTGGCTTCATCCTACCCTGTCAGGAAAGATAGAATAACAACTGATATGGACAGATTTCTAGATGTACTAAATTGTTTTCCAATTATCCCGTTATTTTAGTGATCATTTAAAAAATTTCTTTCCTGAGAATCGGTCTGTTAGCGTTTATTCAATAGTAATGTGAAGTCTGGCTCTTGTCCTTGAAGCCTGTAAACGATAGAATTGCAAGTGCCTTTTGAATTATTTTTGTTCCTCTAAAAAGCAGCGATGCCCGCCATTGGGAGTGGTCTCCTACCGCACAGCGCCTTCATCCCGCCCCCGTTCACTAATGGCACCTCCTTCTCACTCTGCCTCCTGCTGCTCAAGGGAAGCATCTTCCTGCAGACGCCCCGAGCGCTCTGTCCTTGTCTAGGCCTTGCGCCAGCCGCCGCCCTTCTCCTTTCTTCTCACTTGACCAGTTCCTCCTGGGCCTTAGCAGACCCCCTAGCTGTCCGCATCATGGGGTGGCTCTTTCTCCTAGGCCTGAGAAGCTCCAGCCACCACAGTCCCACGGGCGCCCCCTCCGAGTCCTCTGAGTCTGTCACTCAGGAATATTTGAGTGACTCAGATCAGCTGTGCAACCATTCACTGATCTTATGCGCACGTTGCCCCGTCCGATGGTTTTCTCTGAGTGAAATCTGTATTAGTGAATTTCCCACCGTCCTTTGAATTATTTGAGTAACCCTCGGGCATGAGCCGGAATCACCCCCCAGAGTGTCGGTCCTGTTACGAGAACGTGGGCACCAAGCATCAGAGCAGTGCGTGTGTTGGTGTTAAATCTGAAAGCCGTAGACACCCCTTTGTCCCAGGAGCTTTGAGAGCTCGCTGCATCTCCCCGCGGGCAGGTGCCGTGCACGAGGTGCCCTGAAGCGGTGAAGTGGCCGTGTGCTGTCCGGGGCGCAGCCTCTTACACCCGTGCCATGCTCGCTGTCTGCTTCCAGGCTCCTTAAAAACCGCGGAAATGGGACCGTCCCATAGCACTGGCTCCATCTAACTTGAACGAACGCCAGTCCCGGCCATGCCGCCCTGAACACGCCCGGTCTCGTCTGTAACGAAGGCCATGGCTGCTCGACATCTCCTTGCAGCCCCCGCTTCCGTCCCTCCCTCCTGTGCCTCCCTCGCCTCCCTCACCCCAGTCCTCGCCCGGCTCAGCCCTGCTCCGCCGGTCCCAAGCTGCACTGAGCCCTCACCTCTGGCACAATCTTTCCCATGTGGCAGCAGGCCCGGGGGATCTGCGGGCCTCCCGTGCCTTCCTTCCCGTGTGCTGTGAATGTTTCTTGCGCACTCTGGGTTGCTAGGGAGACCGAGGTAAGACTGGGTCAGTGCCCTCGAGGAGCGGCACTCCTGGCTTGTGAAGAAGGCAGACCCGGCCTCCTCGCGCAGGTGGAGACTGAAGCGGACTTGCAGGTTGAGAGGAAGTTAGTTACCTCGTCACTTTGTGCAGAGAGCCGAATGTATTTTAAAGTGCAAATGCACAAGGGCAGTCGGTGACTTCTGAGAATATCGCGTGGACAGAGTGTGGCTGGAGGGAAGGATCTGCAGGTGTGGGTACCAGAGCCGCAAGGGCAGCAGCCATCGTGGTGGGCTTCATTCTTAAAGAAAGAGGCACTGCTGGAACCTTGGTGAGCAGAACTGCGTAGTGCGGATTACTCTGGCGGCAGGAGGAAGATAGCGTTTGGGGTCCACGCTGGTAGGAGGAAGGCAGTCGGGGAGAGAGCAGCAGGTCACGCACACAGCAAGCGTCTCAGTGCAGTGGAAGCGGGGAGGCAGGTTCGCTAAGTGCTCGAAGGAGTAGAATCCTTAGGCCTCCTTCCCGAGCCTGGCTGTGGAGGGGAAGCGGGGAGAGGAGCTCCTGTGGAGGTGTTTCCATCAGGAATATTTTGGGTGTGGTTTGTGCACGGACATCAGAAAGGCCATACGTCCGAGGGGCCACGGGTGAGGCTGTGTGGGTGGAGCAGGCAGGAGTTTGAAAAGAACTTGGCGGGAAATGGATGCTGCGAGTCCCCGGAAAGAAGGGATGTTTAAAGAGGAAGCGGAGAAGCGGGGCCAAAGAAAAGGGAGAGCAAAGCAGCGGGAGGAGCGTGTCCCGGATGCGGAAGAAGGCTGGGAAGGCGTTAGTACTCGCTGAGAGCGTCGGAGAACGAAGGCGAGCAGACGGGCTTGCTGCTTAGTTGCTAAGCTGCCGGCCAAGCAGCAAAGGTGCTGCCTGCATGTAGTGACCGGCCAAGCAGGAAAGGTACTACCTGCGTGTAGTATTTGGGAGGTGTTTTTTTTAAAAAGAAAACAACCTAACAAAACATCAACAATGAAGACAAAAACAAAAGCAACACAAAAACAGCAAGAACGATACATGACCTCAAGACAAAATGATAGGAATTAACAATGGTTGCTACATTACGTGCTGTTACCTTCCACGGAGTTGCTCAGTCCACCAGATGTAAGAATGTAAGATTGATCAAACAACCAAAGACAGTAACAAGTAATGAAAAAAAAAACAACATTGGAAATGATGCAGAGCTTCACCGTGCAAGATGGTAGGAGTTCAGCAGTGGTTCTTCTACTGCAGATTGTTGTCTTCAGATCAGTCGTTCCTTTATAGGTAAATGGACGCAGCTAGAGGCCATACTCGTAAGTGAAATAAATCAGATTCACATGTGTAAACATCGTATTTCCTCCCTACTATAAGAACCTGAAAGGGTAAGTAAAATCTGAAAGGTACAGGTTGTGAAAGGGAACAGAAACTGCTCAAATAGGAAGGAGCAACTGGGATGCAGGAGGGGAGAGGAAAAAGAGAGAAGACGAAAAAATATGTGTGTGTACACACAGGACAGCTAGGGGAATTGCACTACCAATGTCTGTTGGTTTACTGAAAGGAACTGTTAATGTTTAATTGATCACTCTTACATGCCTATATCTGGTTATATGTGCACCCATTTTGAAGATAACATTAGGTAATATAACAGCCATTGTTAATATCCTATCACCTTGTTTTGAAATTCTGTATCATTTTTATTGTTTTCCATGCTGTTTTGTTTATGTATTTGTTTTTGTTATTTTTTTTCTTTTCCTTTAAAATGAGAAATAAAATTTATGTGTGTATACAAGGATATCTGGGATAGGTGTATTCCTGATGTCTGTGGTTTACTGAAAGAAGCAGTTAATGCTTAAAATTTTCTTTTATCTTGACCAGTTTTATTTGGGAGATTTCTTATCTCGCAGTATATAGCTTGACTCAGCTTTTTAACATTACTTAAGTAAAACAAAAATGAGGACAAAATGCCCGATAGAGGGGAGTATTTGGCCATATCAGAAGTTACTTAGTGATCAGAGAAACAGCTGAAAACCTGTTGGGCTCCAGATAAGCAGTCGCCCCCAGAGTGGTTAGCAAGAGTAAGTTCAGTGCAGGCGTGAGGTCCGCACCAGGCCGCACTTTCATGCAGGGAAGGTGTAGTGGAGAAGGGAACAGCTTGGACTTCCTTCAGGAAACCTGACTGCAGCGAAGGGGGAGTGTTAGCGAGGTGGGATCCCGGCAGACGTTTCAGGCAAGGGGTATTGCTGTCTTTACTGTGGGTGGTTTTTGCCGTGCTGAAGTGATCAGTCTTTCTAGTTCTAACTTAAATAGCAGCACAAATTATACCATGTTGGGTTCTTTTTCTGGTGTATTTTTAAACATAAAAGTTTTAATCCATCTGGAATTTATTTTGAGGTAAAAAAATGATGACCCTGTACCTGTTTTTCCAATGATTTGGTGAGTTGCTTAAATACTTGGAACCCACTGATTATAATCTATTTAAGTCTCAGGCGCGTTTTTCTCTCTGCTTTAAAACCATTCTGTTTAATTCATGCTATCTGTCCGTGCACTAATTCTGCAATTTTAATTGTATAATATACTCAATATCCCCTAAAGCTGATCTCATTTTACTGTTTTTATGTCAGTGGAATCGTTCCCCTTTTATGAATTACCTGTCTACTTATTTATAAACTGTATCCTCATCTTTTAGCTTCTTTTTAAAAAAATTCTGAATTAACTGACTTTGTATTAGAATTCTAATTCTGTGGAGAGAACTGTGATTCGTCCGCAAGCGCGCATCTGCCCGGTCCAGGGTGTGGCATATCCTCCCATTGGTCATCGCTGGTTTATTCTCAGCCGGTTCTCGCCACAGCCTTACCTTTCCTCCTTTGGGTTTGTAACTGGGAGGGTTACGTTTCTCCTCCTGATTTCCGGCCTGTGTTGAGCAGGTCCAGCAGCATCGCCCCTCACTCCAGCGGCCGTGAGGTGCCCCTCCCAGCAGGGCACGCCTTCACTCCTTCCCAGCCGCCTCTCACCCACTGCGCGCCTTTCTCTTCCCTGCCTGCCCCCGGGTGATGGAGAGTCGCAGACTCGGGCTGTCCATCCCCGGTGGCCGCTCCTGCCGCTGACTCTGGCCTGATCAGCGCTGGTCCGTGCTTGTCTGACCCTTCCAGCTACAAACACTCCTCCCAGCCCCGTCTGCTCTTGTAGAACAGAACCTGTCCTCTCAGACCAGAAGCAAATGCCAGTCCCACCTCCCTGATCCCACCCACCGTACCCTCACTTTCCTGGCCGGGCTCCTCCCTGCTGTCCATCTGAGCAGCTGGCCTTCTAAAGGGCCTGTGAGTTTTCCTCTCACCCACAGTGTTAGTTACGCACAAGCCCTCTACGGGTCTGCCTGTTGGAAGGAAGGGAAGGGCCTCGAACTCAAACGCTTCTTTTCTAAATCTGGCTGGCGTGCTTCCTTTTGGTTTCCAGGTGTAGCTGTTCTCAGAGCTGCTGCCCTATGTATATCAGACCATGTAAGTTTCAGATAAGGAAAGAAGAACTTCGAAGCCAGCAGTAGTGTCTTGAGATTGTGACCGTGGGGACTGCAGTAGATGTGCTGGAGGAGGAGAGGGCCTAGCAAGACCGCTTTTTGTCTCGTGTTTGTGTTCACATTGTACTTACTTTCTCCAACTTACAGGGCTCTGTTTCTTTGCTGCTTTTCCTCATAATTCCCTTTAACACTTCCTGAGCAGAGCCTTCCCAGTGGTACTTTTTTTTAAATCCTAAGTCACAAATCATCTGCTAATATCCTCCTAGCTCAACATTAAGAATGAACAGAGCCGGGCGTGGTGGCACATGGCTATAATCGCAGCCCTCGGGAGGCTGAGGCAGGAGGACCGTTGTGAGTTCAAAACCAGCCTGGGAAACAAAGTGAACTCAAGGCCAGCCTGAACTGCATAGCGAGACCCTGTCTCAAAAAAAAAAAACCAAAAATAATAATCATAATAATAAGAAGAGTGAACAATACGCTTAAAATGTCTCAAATTTGTTACCAGAAAATAATTTGTGATTGATGAAAGACTTTTCAATATATTGTTCCTGTTAACTGTGTGTATGTAAAAGAAATAGCTGTAATTAGCTGTCTTTCAAGAGATTTCATATTTGTGTTTTGTTTAAATTGTTTCACTGTTGAGTGGTTGTTGCTGCGTGCGTGTTTTGTCTTTGGGATCGAGTTCTGTGTTGCCTTTCTCTTTCTAAGAGTAAAGGAAATGTGTTGTCCACCCACCCACCACTCCATGATGTGTGTCCCTTCCATTGACAGTTATTCAGTTTGGGTTCGTCACCTTATTTGTGGCCTCCTTTCCGCTGGCCCCTCTGCTGGCTCTCGTGAACAATATATTGGAAATAAGAGTGGACGCGTGGAAACTGACCACCCAGTTTAGACGCATGGTGCCGGAAAAGGCCCAAGACATCGGCGCGTGGCAGCCCATCATGCAAGGAATCGCAGTTCTGGCTGTGGTGACGAACGTGAGTAGACAGAGGCTGCGCAGGGTGGAGGCCTTTAAAAGCCCCAGAATGCACTGGGGCGCCACCTACGGAATCAGGTGTTTGGTGCTTTGTAAAATGGGAGGATGGTGCCAGCTCTGTCATCTGTATAAACAATATAATTATATGCTATGGAATGAAAGTGATACTACTCTTTTTCAGTTTTGTTTGTGTATAATGACAGGGGTACCATTGTTGCCCATTTGCTGGTTTTTATGCAAAACAAATATGGTAATAACATTAATAAGTACTAACACTTCTAATCCTCACGTGACTATAAAAGGAGTTATCAAAAACTGCTTTCGTAATACAGGTAGAAATGTGTTCTTGTAGTGTTTCAGGACTAAGATAAGACCATTCCATCATATTTTACTGTAGGTTCCAAAATACCAACTACTATAATAACTGCAGTGGAAGCACTTCACACATGGCGAACTGCGTTGCCCTCTTTGTCTCAGAGCAGCAGGGTGTAAGGATGAGTTCTAGCACTCTTCCCACCTTCCACTGGGTCCTTGCTAGCCATACTCCTGGCTGAGGCAGCTTCCTGCCCTCCATGCCGGCCGTGAAGGCACACACTCAGTGGTTCCCAGCCTGTATGAATTGATTAGAGACCAATCTGAACAGGCCTTCGTTTTGTTTTTGCACACACTAACAGTTCTCAGGCATAGCAGTCTTCATGCCAGCTGTCGGTGACCTCTTCCCTTAGAAACAGCCTGAAAACCAGGGCCCTTTGCCGCCATATCTCACTGCCAGTCTCACTCCCGCCCTCCGGTCAGCTTCCCCTCCCCAACAAAATTATTTCCCAGCTTTAATTTCTAAACCCGCGCTTGCCCCCAAGTGCCCTGCCTTTTCTCGTTGCCTGTGGGCGAGGCTCTGCGGGAGCAGATTCCTGAGTGCCGCAGGCTGTAGACTCAGTAGGTCTGTGCTCCCCTTCCGAGCACTATGATTCTGGAGCCGGCTCTCGCACGTCAGACCCTCGTCTTACCATTGGTAGAACCACGACCCCCTGCGCAGTGGTTAGTGAGTTAACGCATAGAATGCATTCAGCGTCCCTGAATGTCACTGATGCTTGATTTTCTTTATTCAACCTCATTAACATCCACTCCCTGGGGACTCTGACATGTATCCCAGCTAAAGGCACAAGAATTTGAAAACTAGTCACTGTCCGGATGATAGGTATAGTTGTGTACAATAGAACAAGCTCTCTGGAACCCTCCACTCTCAAACGCTCCATTTGTCTGAATCATATGCTGTCTCTACTTTTTGGAGAAAGTTGCAAATGACGCATAAAAGCCAACTTACAAGGTACGTCAGCTTCCTCTCACCCAGTAACACTGCTGCGGCTTAAACATCCGCTGTTCCAAATGAAAACTGACGTCCAGAAACATGACAGCGAGGCCTTTCAGGTTCCACAGCCATAAAGTACGGGTCTGCCACGTTCAGAACGTGGACTCGGGGGATTGAAGAGAATTTTCAGCAACAAGGTTTGAAACTAAAAGGGTTTTTGTTTGACCTTCAGCAACCAGAAAATGCGATCGAATCGTGATGCTCAAGCATACGAGCTTGATTGTATCAGGCACCTCTTGGCGGAGGCCGGGCCATGGCCCCGCTCCATTAGCACAGATGGAGGGCTGGCTGTGTTGACAAGCGGCTCCAAGCGGGTCTGTGTGCAGACACACACGCTGGCTAATTGGAGCTACTGGGTCTTGTCCGATGGTTGTTTTTCTTCAATTTATCCTAGGAAAACTACTTACTAGATTTGTGTCATTGATTAAACTACAGATAACGTTTTTTCCGTATTATTAGGACTGTTACACTCCCAAGATGCAGTGTGCACACACATACACATGTAGGTATGTAAATATATGTGCAAACATCGAACACGTCTGTGTCCCTCACAGGTATGCCCTCAACCCCTCAAATACCTACTGTGTAAGTCCGCAACCTAATGGCCGTAAGAGGAAGAGAACAGCCACGGGGGCGAAAGCGGGCGTCCAGCAGGAGCTCGGTGTAAAATCACCCCTTGTGAGGCTGCTGGTTTAGTAAATAAGCTGCACTGATGCTGTGGTATCTGCCAGCGCATCTGCTATTGACGACCGATTTTAATTTATTTTGATATAAATGGAAACCTGAGTGCGGAACAGCGTGAGGAATGAAACACACATTTGTGCTCTGCAGCATACCCCTCAGAGGAGCTCAGCTCAGGAGGAGAGGTGTCTTGTCAGACACCGATAGCGTGATCTCCCGTGTTGGAATTTCTGTAGCTTCCTGGAGCACGTGTGCAGGTGATTTTATAAACAAATAACGGTTGAGGTAAATGATAACAGGAAATTTAATCCACTGAAATCTGGAAAAGGGTGTAGGATTCTTACGGCACCCCACCACTGACCAGCAGTCACGCACACAGATTTTACACTGGAAGGAAATGACAAGGTTGGTTCTAGCGGGGGCAGTTTTGCGGTAGAAAAGCTCCTCGTTTTTCTTGCTTTGCCTGAGATCTTGTTTGCTGGTTTGTGGTCTCACTGTTTAAACCATATGTTCAGATGAGTACTATTAAAAATCACGTCGAGCCAGAAACATGTCTGTTCTTCTGCTTATTTAATGACTCACTCGTTCACTTTGTTTATTCACATGGAATTGGGTTTGCAGAATATTCTTTCTCCATCCCGCAAAGCAGTTTTACAAATGGGAGAGTTAAACCCCAAATTAAAAAATTTTAGAAAACGTGTATAACTCAGCTTTATATCCCAGTAGATGCCTGTCAGGCACAGGTTTATGATTGATTCATATTTATTCCCTCTGTTTGAAAATATACTAAGGCTTTCTGTGTATTGCTAAGTAAGTTACAATTTTCATAACTTTGTCCGTTTAATCTTTTGCAAGTTTGGAGGCATAGGTAGTAGATCTAACAAAACTGACATCATTGCGTGACTTTCTAAATGGAGTAACCGCAATATAATTTCTTTTTAGCCACCGTATTTTATATTAAAAATTCTTCTTCTCTAATGAACAAGTACATAGTGTGTTTAAAGTAAATCAGGCCCTGGGGTGACTTGTCTCAGCAAGTCTGGAGGGGCAGGAGTGTGAGTTTGAAGCTGTTGTTTAAATTTAGATCTAGGGACGTATATTTTATGCAGTTTAAATTCTAGTTTTGTGAAAGTCAATTTTGTATCAATTACAAAGGACTTAGATAAAGTCAAAGTATTTTCAAAATACTGATCTTAGTATGATAGCTACAAAACTATCAACCTTAGGAACCGTATAATTTTGATAGTTCTAATTTTTGAAATAATGCTAATTTACGTAGTATATACAAGGCCTCTTAAATTCTCCACATTACCCCAGTTTATACTTAGTTTGAGTAAACGGTATTATATTTAAAAGCACAGTAAACAGCTCTCGGACCTCCGCATTTGAATTGCAGATCTTCCCTTAAGAATTGAACACCCGAAAGAGATAGTCTAAATTTTCTGCTCAGAGACTACTTTGTTAAGTGAAAAATGGCAGACTAGGAAAGTCAAATAGTATGTCTTTCTCTCATATGAAGAAACCAGAAAAAAAATTTGTTTTAAAGACTTGAAGTAGAATTAGAGACGAGGAGGTTGGGGAGCAAAGGGGAAGAGGCGCAGTGGGGCGGGGAGGACCGAAGCGTGTTCTGTGTGTGTGAGATACGCTCAGGTGAGCCCACTCGTCTGTGTAATAGACACTAATTTTTTTTAAAATGCCACTTACTGGTTTTTAGGGTGCAGATTTCATACTTAAAGAATTGCGATTTCTGAACCTCTACTTTATTAAAATTAGCACGATGAAAACAATGTAATGCTTGGTATTTGTTAGCTATAACTACAATGACGTTAATGCTTGCGCAATTGTGTTCCTCCCTGAACAGGCCATGATCATTGCCTTCACGTCAGACATGATCCCCCGCCTGGTGTATTACTGGTCCTTCTCCATCCCGCCCTATGGAGACCACGCCGACTACACCATGGAGGGCTACATCAACAACACGCTGTCCATCTTCAACGTCTCGGACTTCAAAGACAGAAGCAAGGCGGACTCCAACTCTGGCCTTGGTAACCACACCACGTGCAGGTAGGCTCTGCTTCCCCTGTTTAGAAGCTCACCTCCCTCGAGACGGACTTCTCTTGTGGTGTAATTCCGCCTGGGATTACGTGAATTGCTAGAGACAGTGTTTTCCCATAGCTTTCTTTTCAGTCAAACTCAATGAAGATATTACAGTTTATAATGATGAAGGTAGGGCTTTCAAACCAAACCAGAATAGCAAGCTTGAGAGTTCGAAATGGGTACAGAGAGACTGATCCAGGAGAAAGTCTTACCTATTAGAGATGAAGAAACACAAGAAGTTGTAGAAACCCACGATAATTCAAGTGCCTGGGCTAATTGGTTACATCAGCACAACCTGAGGATAAGAGATAATATCACCCTCACTTACTAAAGATGTACAAAGTTAAAAGATGGAAATACCTACCAGTATTTTCTGAAAGGTTTCCAAAGCTCCCTGCATTGCTTTTAATGACTGGTAAAATGTTCTTGGGTTCATACCACTTAAATTACCAGTTGATACTTGTTGACTACAGAGCATAGATTTTTCTCAGTCTTGAACATGTCTAAAGGAGACTTTAAAATTCTTTTAGCCAAACTCTTCAAAGCCTTCACTGACTCAGACTTTCAATAACACAACCCATAAACTAGAAGAAATACGGCCACAGTAAATGTTGTCAAGTTATAGGAAGAAGGGATCTACCTACTGTTAGAATCCTACACTGCATCTACCTACTGTTACTTTACATAAAGCTCATGAAACTCTTCTAGGCAGGAAGTTAGAGATGTCCCTCCTGAGAAAGGCACTGTGACAGTAGTAACGTGTGGCAGCTCACAGCAGAGAATTAGGTAGAAAAATGGTGACAAGTGGGTGTGTTCTCAATAGGGAGCAGCGGACCCATGGCTGAGCCAGTTCTCGTACCGTTTTATAAATAAATTTATAAACATGTTCCCAAAAATAGGCTAAATGGTTTTATACCCTTCAGAAAACAAAAATAAAACTGTGAGCCCCCCCCCCGCCCCTACCTTTTTTTCCTCTTCTAAAGAAGGATTCTTTTTCACAGGTGAGTCCATTATTACCATCACTGTGTGATTATGTGTTCAGTGAATTATTGCTGGAGTCATTGTTCTAATACTTTTGTTGCCAAATTGAGCTCTAGGAGCAAATTTATGTCCAGTTTAAAAGAACATTGCCGGGGCTGGGGATTTAGCTCAGCGGCAAAAGCACCTGCCTGGCAAGCGCAAGGTCGTGAGTTCGGTTCCCGGTACCGGAGAAAAACCAAAAAAAAAACTAAAATAAAATAAAAGAACATTACATCAAATATGACTCCTTTTGAAAACAGCTCTTGTTTATAATATTTGATCAAAAAGCTGCTTCCTGAGACCCGCCTGTTTTGTTTCCAGGTATCGTGATTTCCGAAATCCGCCTGGACACCCACAGGAGTACAAACACAACATCTACTATTGGCATGTGGTTGCTGCCAAGCTGGCTTTTGTCATTGTCATGGAGGTAGGAAAAGTGTATTTTGAAACAGTTTTAAGGCCGTGTATTTGTAGATCTTACATTTGAGTGTTACCAGTTCAACTTAAAATGTATATTTTCTTCTTGCGCGCTAAAAGTTATTTTAGGACACGTATTGATCAGATGGGGCATATTCATAATGCTGTAATTGGGACTTTTGGATTCTTGGTTTCTTTGCTTTGTTCTGTTTTTGTGGTGCCAGGGATTAGACCCCAGGGCTTTCATACTGAGCTATGTTCCCAGCCTTTTATTTTGACGCAGGGTCTAGCTAAGTCACTCAATTGCGCAGGCTGGGCTTGAGCGCCTGCCTCAGCCTCCCGCGGTGCTGGGGTTGCAGTAACGCACCACCACGCCGGGCTTGGTTGTCTGTTGTCAAAGTTAGAAAGCATGGAATGTGCAGAAAGGATTCGGTTCCGTTCAGTAGATTATTAACCGAGGGCCTCTTCAGCCAGGGGGCACCGAGCAGAGTGCTGACTGTGAGCGGTGGAGGAGTAGCTGTGGCCTCTGCCTCCAAGGAGCTTGCATTGCTGTTCTGTTTCCATTCATATTACTGTTCTTCAACTACTGCATTTTTCATAATACGCCAGCTTCTTACAGTAGTTTATACATCCCTAAAGTGAAGTAGCTCTGAAAAATGACCAAGGCAGTATAAATGGTCAGTTGATCCAGCCGACTGCATTTCTAGAGTGACCACCAGGTTACAAAGCCTCACAATTGATGGGAAAAAGTTTTCCCTTTTTTGTTCATAGGTTGCGTTTTCTTTTTTTTAAGGCGTTTATGGTCGTCTTGGAGGGTGGGCATCTGGACATACACAGCTGAATTCTCGTCTTAATCCCCGTCCCTCTTGCCTCCCTCCTCCTCTAAGTCCCCTTCCCGCATGCCATTCCTCTTGATATCTATCTTTCCTTGTGTTTAGGGCATGCAGTGTTTGTGTTCCTTGAGGTCATTCGGTTCCTGCGCGTGGCACACCTTTCCCCTTCCCGCCTGCCTCCTCTTGCCCACGTCCCCTTGGGCCCCTTCCCAATTGCAAGTGATCCATCCCCTTGTCTTTTTTTTTTAAAAAAAAACAGGGTCTCACTATGTAGTTCAGGCTGGCCTTGAACTCACTATGTAGCCCAAGTTGGCTCAAAACTCATGGTGATCCTCCTGCCTCAGCCTCCCAAGTACTGGGTTTATAGGCATATGACCCTGCACCCAGCGTCCCCTTGTCTTTCTGTCCATCCTTTATTGTGCTGTTTGTACTTTGCCTTACTCAGACGACAGTGAGTGTCCCCATCATCTGAACACGTGAGACTTTTGAGGAACATTTTACATCTAAACCATAGCAAATATAGTCAGATATGTTTCAAAACAAAGTGCTAGCGAAGGTTCTACAAACCTAGAATTACAACAGAATTTTGAGTAGCTGAAAAATCATTCCATAATGAACATACCAGGTTTATGGTTTTGTAGAAAAGTGCGACCTTTTGGAACAGATTATTTCTATCTTATGCAAACTTCCTCAAAGACCTTGAAAAAAATAAATAAATCAATCCTCTCCATCTCACGTGGTGAAGCCAAACCTAGGTCTAAAATCAGACAAGCATAAAGAGAAGAAGAAAAATTAAGGCCAATCTCACTCATTTCATAGATGCAAAGAACATTTTAGGAAGTGTAAAGTAAATGGAGCAATGTATTTTTAAAAGTGAGCATCTCACTGTGTTGACTTTAACCCAGAAATGGAAGGTGACGTAACAGAAAATCCACTTATCTGTAAGTACTGCCTTCAGAAATAGATGACAGAAAAAAATACCTCTTTTAGCCAGGTGTGGTGGTGCACTCCTATAATCTCAGCATTCGGGAGGCTGAGGCAGGAGGATCACCACCAAGTTTGATCCCTCCTGGGCTACATAGTGAATTCAAGGCCAGCCTGAATTACAGTGAGAGCTTGTCTCAAAACAAAACAAAACAAACCTCTTTCCTCCCCCTACTGTTCTCCATCATCATCATCATCATCATCACATGAACCCATTTCTCTTCATCCTGTTGACCTCACCACTTCTCCAGTTCTTTTCTTTGAGAGCAGGGTCAGTGCTTCTGTTGTGATGCTTCCTCTTCCTCGTCCTTCCCATGTCCCTCCTGGGCGGGCCCTCCCACCCCCGCTCACTGAAAACGCCTTTGCCACATCCCCGCAGCCGTCGTGTGGCTCAGTTCCTGTGAGTACTCCTCCCCGATCACGTTACCTCGCCTGCCAACAGCGCTGCACGTGGCTGATTTCCAGTGCTCTTTGAAACTTCCTCGGCTCCTGGGAAAATACAGCTTTTAAAAGCAGTAGGAAGAGACAAGGAAAGTCGTTATATAACAGTAATGAGGCAGCTCAGCAAAAAGGAATAACACTAGTCAATATATATGCACCCAATATTGAAGCATCTGAATACAGTGGCACCTCAGTCCAGGAACCTAATTCTTCCCACAGTTCTGGTTGTAAACCAAATTGGATGAGCACTGAATCTAACTCAGTGGTTAGGTTCAACGTTGACCTTGTGGGGGAAATTGATTTGGTTTGCAGCCAATTTGGTTTGTGACTAGAATCATGGAAAGACTTAAGTTCATGAACCAAGGGACCCCTGTCTATAAGTCAGATAGTAATGCACTTAAAGGCAGAGATAGGCTCCAGAACATTAATAGTAGTGGATTTTAACACCTTCCTTTCAGCACTGGACAGATCATTCCAACAGAAAATCAGTAGAAATACAGAATTGTGTCAGAAACCAAGTGAACCTAACAGACACTTACAGAACATTCCATTCTTCAGCTGCAGAATATCTTTATTCTAAAAGAGCACGTGGACCATTCTCCAGGATAGATCAGATGGTAGAACACAAAACAAGTTTCAACAAAATGTTTTCAAAATTTTGCCAAGTATTCAGATACCTGGAAATTGAATGTACTCCTGAACAACCAATGGAACAATGCAGGAATTAAGAAAATCTAAGCCTATCAGATGCAACAGAAGCAATGCTGAGAGCTAAGTTTGTAGCAGTAAGCATCTATATCAAAATAGCTGAAAAATCTTGGGGTTGGGATGTAGGTCAGTAGTGGAGAGCTTGCCTAGCATGCCAAAAAGGCCTTTAGGCTTGATCCTCAGCACGTGAAAAAAAAGGCAGAAAAATCTCAACTTGTTGTTATACCTCAAACTGAAAAATAAAACAAACGTAAGATTAGTAGAAAGTCATAAAGATCTGAGCAGAAATAAACAAAATTGAGATTAAAACAACAGGACAAAGGAATGAATTGATTTTCAAAAGATAAAATTGACAAACCCTTAACTAAAATAACTAAAACTAAGATCGTTTCAATACCTTTAATACTTTTATTCAACATAGGACTAGAAGTCCTAGCCAGAGCAGTCAGGTAAGAAAGAGAAGAAAGAACACCCAAATTGAAAAGAAGGAAGGCAAATTGTCACTGTTTCCAGATAATGTGATTTTGGACCTGTATAAATAAAATGAATTATAATGACATAGGAGGAATGCACAAATTTTAGAATACCTACACTTTACCAAAATTGAGTCATGAAGAAAAAACCTGAACACAGTAATAGGTAACTAGATTGAATCAGTAATAGAAATTCCCCCAACAAAGAAAAGCCCAGGACCCAGTGGCTTCACAGCTAAGGTCTACCAGATATTTACAGAACTAACACCAATTTTTAAATTACTCTAAAAAGTTAAGCAGAGGAAAATCTTCTAAATTCATTTTATGAGGTCAGCATTTACCCTGCTACCAAAACCAGACAAGGATACAACCAAAAAAGAAAGCTACAGGGTAAATTTCATGATTAACATAGATGCAGGAATTTTCAACAAAGTGCTAACAAATTGATCTCATAGCACATTTGAAAGATCATTTACCATGATCAACTGGGATGAATTCCAGGGATGCACAGAAAGAAGTGGAAAAACGTCCTTGCTGTGTTCATGAAATAAAAGACTCAAGGTTGTTAAAGGTCTGCACTACCTAATGTGATCTAAAGAGTCAATGCAATTCTTATCAAAATGCCAATGACATGCTTCAAAAAACTAGAAAAAACAATCCTAATAGCCCCGTGAAGCCACAAAAATGACCTAAGCAATCTTAAGCAAAAAGGGAAAAAACAGCATTATATTATCTGACTTCAAAATACACTACAAAACTATAGTAAATAGAAAAGCATGGTATTGGGGGCTGGGGATTTAACTCAGTGGTACAGCGCCTGCCTGGCAAGCACAAGGTCGTGAGTTCGATCCCTGGTACCGGAAAAAAAAACAAAAATAAAATAAAGTAGCATGGTATTGGTATAAATACAGATTGATGGAACAGGAAGAAAGAACTTTCAGTAAACTATACCTGTGCAACCAACTGATCTTTAACAGAGTTGCTAAGAACAAAGATAGTTTCTTCAGTAAATGGCTCCTGGGAGAGTGTAGGTATCCACATGTAGAATGAAACTAGACCCCCAGCTAACCATTTACAAAGTCAACTAAAAATGGACTAAAGACTTACACGTAAGACCTGAGACTATGACATTATTAGGAAAAAACACTGGGGAAGTGTTTTAGGACTTTGGAATCAGCAAGGATACTTTGCATAAGACCACTTTTTAAAAGCCTGGGCAACAAAAGCAAAAATAGACAAAGGACATTATCTTCTGCTCAGCAAAGGAAATAATCAATAGAGTGAAGAGACAGCCTACAGAAAAGGAGAAAAACTTCCGCAAAGTCTCTCTCTGTGATAGTTAACCTTGACTGTTAACCTGATCTGCTCCAGAGATGCTTAGATTGGCAAAGCACATTTTTTGGTACGTCTGGGTGGGCTCTGGGGTTGTGACCTCAGGACTATTGTGTGGTCCCCGCTCCCTGTCTCTTCTCTGTGCTGTGCTTCCTGGGTGCCATGAGACCGGCAGCTTTCCTCGGCCATGATGTTCCTCCCTTGGAGACAGCTGGCCATGGACCGACCCCTCTGAAACGGCAAGCTGAAGGAAAGCTCCCCTCCTGTAAGTTTTGGGCAATCGAGCACAGTACTTTATCACAGTGACGGAAAGCTGGCATTAATCGCTAGACTATAGGAGGGACTCAACTCAATAGCAAAAACTGAACCAACCTCACAAATAACCCAGTTTTAAGAAGAGCAACAGAGTGCAGAGAATGGAGAAGAGAAAAATGCCTGAGCAGCGTGCCGACCTCGGCTCTCCTCAGCTTGCCCTTGCAGCCTCACCTGCTCACCACCCGGAATATCTTCCCCCATGGCCCCCTGCACAAGGGATCAGGCAGGCGCACACGCGTCTGCGTCAGGACGACGAACCCTAAGCCGTGGGTATCTGGATTGGCAATACTGGCAGAGGACTGCGCTGCAAGACCGCGCTCTGGACGGTGAGCCCGAGCGCATGGCAGAGTGGCCTGACTGGAACTCTGATGGCTGTCGTCCTGTTCAGTCTGCAGGCGCCAACGTGAGCGTGTCCCCGTTACTGTGACCTGGGACTCCTTCTGCAGAGACACCATAGTCTGGTATTCTGCAGAGTTTTCAGGTATGACTAGAAGCCTGCAGAGGCGACTTAGTGCACACCTGAACATTAGTGATGGACACGGTGTGCAGCCCGCACCCTGCTTCAGGACAGAGCGGGAACACTGTCGAGGGGGCAGACGGGCACCCGTGTGGTAGGCCTGGGCCCCGCGGTCCATGTTACTGTGGTGTGGGAGCAGACAGAGATGGTGGTAGGGATGTCATGGAGGCTCATTTTGGGGCCTCTGCGAATGCCAGAGTCAAGATTACAGGGCTAAATGCTGAGGTCATGCCTCCCCCATGGGAATTCCAAATGGGACCCTGTGAAGGAATCTCTGCGGGGAAATCATGACCTGTATGACCTTGTATCATGTATGTGAAGACTTTGAAGATAGCGACTTTGATCCTAAGCCCATTCCTGAGTACTGGAATGGTGCAGGTGGCCACACCAACTTCAGCACAAGGGCCACGTGGGAAGAGAAAGTACATCGAGGAGGCCATCGGGCAATGAAGCAAGCAGAACTAGTGCCACATTCACACCTGTGGTCCCAAGGAGAGCCTGCACAAAGCCCAGCACCGAAGTGGATTCCATGCATCCTCCAACGTCGACCACTTCTCCGCTGGCATCACCAGCTGTAGTTCCAGCATCCATGTTCCTTCTTCCCCGAAGAAGGGTTCCTTCGAACACCATCACCTCCTGCCAGTTCTGACCCCTTTGCTGTGCCAGGAGCCCTCATCTGCACATGTCTTCTCAATGGTGCTGGCAACAAGCTCTTCCAAATCTGAGTGGACTAGAATCATAGCCGTTGAGCCCCTCCTAGCTGTGCCCCCTTCTCCAGCTCTTCGCTATCTTCCAGGGGCCAAAATCTGGGGAAGTTTGGGGCAAAGGAGGGATGAAGGAACGCTGGTAAGTGGATACTCAGTTACAGTGAGGTAGGACAAGTTAAGCTCTTACATTCTGTTGTATTGTTACTCTTGCTGTGTATTCTTTTAAAACCTAAAAGGATGGATCTTGAATGTTTTTGCCACAAAGAAATGACAAGTGAAGAGATACGCTTATTCTATTTGAATATTATAAGATATACGCATATCACAGCATCACATGGTACACAGCACCACATAAATATTGTACATACTTAAAGTAAAATTTTTTTTAATCTTTTCTACTCCTTTGTCTCCTGCAGTCTAGTTTTAAATAACAAATGGGCTGAAAATTGATATTTTTGAAAACTTCTCTCCTGAATTCAACCCATGAATCCAGCTGTCTCCCTGATCTTTCTGTTTGGATATTCCACAGGAGCTTCACATCTTACTGCCCCAGATTCCTGTGTTTTGTTATATCCACCTCAGTCTCCCCAGCCTTGTAGAGCTGCCCACAGCAGCAACCCGTTATGAACACGTTCAGGAGGCGAGGGAGGGAGCCATGCAGGTGTCAATGGGAAAGACATACTTGGCAGAGGGCCCCACCGGGCCCCACCAGTGCACGGCCCAGGGGAAGGGAGCCCTGGGACGGATTCCAGGAAAGTGTGGCTGGAGTGGAGAGAGGAGCGGGGAAGTGACAGTAGAGAGTCACAGAGTGTGGCCTACTTTCTCCTTCTTACCCCGCATCTAAACCTGATGGCTTTCCCTTGGAAATAGATCTCTGGTCATTTCTTACAAACTCTGCTGCTTCCACCATATCAGCCTTGTGTTGCTGTAACAAAATATTAGCTAATGGTTTCAGCTGGTTCCGTCCATGGTCGCCCGTCCTACTGCCTTTGGGCGTGTGGCAAGGCATTAAGTCACCATGGGAGCATATGATGGAGGAAGCTGCTTACTTTATGGCGGCTAGGAAGCAGAGCAAGAGAGGAGAGAGCCTGGGGTCTCGATAGCCCCTCAGGGAACTAACTTCCTTCCACTAGGCTCCCCCACCTGCTAAAGGTTTTACCACTGCCCAGTAGCACCACTGGCTGAGGTGCAAGCCTTCAGCACTTGGGCCCCAGAGGACATGTTCCAAACCACAGCACACCAGGATAGGGCCGCTGGCATTTCCTGCCTGCGTCAGGTCAAGTCCCTTATCTTCTGGTAAGGTCAGGTCCTTCCATGGGGTATGAGGCCTTGCACCGCCCAGCCACGCCCTGTGTTTCTCCGTCACCTGTCCCCTCCTCCCCCACCCCACCTCACCATTCCTGGAGTACACGCTGGGACTCCTACGCTCTGCGCGCTGGTTGTGCCCTTTGCCTAGCACAATGACGGCAAACCTCTCGGAGACCGAGTGCCAAGCAGCAACCCACCGACTGAATACAGAGTGCCAATATTGCAGTTGGACCTGCATGCTGAGGTTTTATTTAGAAAACACAGCTCGACATTAACTTCTTTTGCCTTAAAAGAAAAACACTAACATCGTGCCACAGGTTCGCCACCGCTGGACCCTCCTCCTGATGCCTGCAGGGCTCCCTCCCTCACCTCAGCACCTTCACGTGGGGCTGTCATTTGTGCTTCGCCTTTGGGGCAGCTCCGAGCTGCTGGTGATAACCGCGTGCCCGTCCCATAGGTGCTGTGGGGTCGTCGGTTGGGTGGTGCAGGCTGTCCAGTGGGACCGTCACGTGCCCACCACCCACCAGTGGTACAGCCAGCAGAAAAGTGTTCAGGCATAGCCGCGTATCCCCTATACAGTCCACAGCAAATCTGTCTATAAAAATTCTGCAGTACAGTTTTTCCTGTGCTGCGGTATCGTTTCCCCATAGCTCTAGTCACTTTTTAAATAGGATGCGCAATTTGTTTTTAAGTGTGTTTACGGTATTCCGTCTCTGTCCCTTGGCTAGGGAGGGGATTTGGGGCAGTAAGTAAATGAATAAAAAGGTGTTTAACTCATGAGTCAGGGAAATAGAAAGTAAGACCACAGCCAAAGTCCATTTCATAATCGTTAAATAGGTGTAAAAGAAAAAGTCTGATGACTCACACGTCGGCAAGGTGTAGAGCACTTGGTGCTTACCCACTGCTGGTGGGAGGGTGAGGCGGTGTGCCTGCTTTAGAGAGGCTCTCGGTACTGTCCTGTACAGTCGGAGTCACGTGACCGAGGCTCCCACTCTCACGAAACTCTTACAGTTACTGTTCTGGGATCCGTACAAGCATAGTCACAATAGCTTAGCGCCTGGTGCAGAGCCTGGAACCTCGTCCAGTGCCTGTCAGTAAGGGAACAGAAAATCACGGTGTATTCACGTGAATATTGCACAGCAGTAAAAATGAGCAGACTGATGATATATAATACAACACTGATGAATCTTGGAAACTAGTTTTTTTATTTTAAGAAGAATAAAAGAAACATTAAAAGTGATACAGAATTTCAAAACAAGATGATAGGAAGTTAACGATGGTTGTTATATTGCATGTTGTTACCTTCAGAGTAGCTGTTCAGATTGCCAGATATAGGTACACAAAATTGATCAAAACATTATTCCTTTCAATAAACCTACAGCAATAGCACAATTATCTTAGCTATCCTAGGTATATTTATATATTTTTCTTTTCTTTCTTTCCCTTCATTTCTTTCTTTCTCCATTCCCTCATCCCAGTTGTTCTTTCCTACTCATAAGTGAAATAAATCAGACTCCATGTGTACACATCATATGTCTCCCTAGTGTAAGACACTAAAAGAGTAAATAAAATCTGAAAGATACAATAGATATTGTGAAAGGGAAAGAAACTGCTCAAAAGGAAACTAGTTCTGAATGAGGAAAAAAAGCCATTTTCAAAATACTATATATAGTACTGTATTGTTACAATATTCCACTGAGGCAACCCTAAATATCTTATTTAAAGATATAAACGTAGTTTGTTATTTTAAAAAAATGATACCTACTTGTACAGATGGATAACGTTTACCTTTGGGGAAGGAGCAGCATTAGAAAAAGAACACAAAGGGCTGGGCATGTAGCTCAGCGGCACAGCGCCTGCCTGGCAAGCGCAAGGTCATGAGTTCGATTCCCGGTACAAAAAAAGAAAAAGAACACACAATATCGGAGCATTGCCGGTGTCCTCATGTTTTGATGAAGGGAGGATTGAACTCATACATGTGCACGTGTGTATACACACTTACATGTTCTTCTCTACCAGTGAAATAGTATTTAAATTGTACAGTAAAAAAGTATAGGAAGAAAGTAGAGCAATGCTGTCCCCACGCTGTGGTGTTCGAGATTGGCCAGAAGCAGGGTGTCCCCGCGGAGGCCTGGCGCCCCCGCCTGCCCTCACGACCAGCATGTCTGACGTCTTCCTTCCTCTCTCTGCAGCACCTCATCTACTCCGTGAAATTTTTCATCTCCTACGCAATTCCGGATGTCTCAAAGAGCACGAAGAGCAAGATCAAGAGGGAAAAGTACTTAACCCAGAAGCTGCTTCATGAGAGTCACATGACGAAGAACATGGGTATTATAATTCAGAAGATGTCAGAAGTGGTAGATAACAACTTCCGACCGAAGTCGGAGTGAGAGCTTTCTGTTCTGAGAGATGCTTTAAAGGATTTAGTTCTGTCAAAATATGTTAGGAATCGCTAATGAGAATGTGGAAGTTAAATCACGCCAGCAAATACGAGTCTTCGCTGTTGTCATGTTCGTGCAGTTTCCCGTTTCAGCGAGTGATGCGAGAGCTGTGGAACGTAAAAGTAGATCAAGAGGGGCATAAAGCTTCTCACCTGGAAAGCCTCATGTGACCTTTTTTTGATAAATTAGAATTCTAGTAACACAGAAAAAGTCTTTTTACTATGCTTAAAAACCACCCCTTCTAAAGCAGATCGAGTTTTTCTCTTCGATTACTTCTTTTCCTTTCTGTTCTCAAACATGATCTCCCTTATTTTTAGGTAATGTTTCTTTTTTGCAATTTTTTCTTTTTGTACCGGGAATTGAACTCAGGACCTTGCGCTTGCCAGGCAGGTGCGGTGCCGCTGAGCCATATCCCCGGCCTTAGGTAATGTTTCATTTCTTCACTTCACCAAATCTGTTCCAGAGTTGACTTTTCCTTCGGGTCCCATCATTCAAGACTAGCCGTGCTACCATCTCAGTAGTGTTCGTGTGATTAAAAAGTAGCTAGCACAGGGTTGAGTTTGAGTCCTCTGGTAAGTGGCCATAGATTCAAGAATTCACAATATTTAGGGATATTATCATATCTGCACACAGAGGAAGCCCTAATTTAATAAGAAGGAGTTTCAGTCTCCATTCCAGCCTGTCTTTCCACCTCAGAAATACCCGTAATGGATCGGGATGCAGAGAGCAAGCTCTTGACGCATGTTTGTATTAACCCGCAGTGACACCTTTTATCTTCTAGGAGCATTCCTAGAATGTTCTGTGCCTAATCAGTGTCGACTGCATTGTAGACCTCCAGGGAATAAGATGACAAAAGTAAGGAACGTGACAGAATTGTAACTCACATTGATCTGGATAATTAATTTACCTCTTCTAAAGATCTGTCGTTTCCTGCAGAAAAAAAAAAATAGTAACTGACTTATTGAAATGACATTGTTATCCACAGAATGGTCTAGAAAAGATAAGGCCCTCCGTTTCCCGCCAGTTGACGTTTACGCACTAAATACAAGAGGTGCTTTGTTACAGATCACCAGGCGCCTTAGTGAACGGCTCGCGCTGTAGCCCTTGTGGCGGGTGCCGCTGTGCATGGTCGGGGAGACAGCAGACGCCCTGACTGTGAGCCGCACCCTGTGGACCTTGTGTGGGAGGAATCTGCAGGGCTTTATTGCTGTGTGCCAAAGTGATAAATACACCAAAGCACCTGCCGTAGTGCGAATGTGGCTTCCTTGCACCTTCCCTCCGCTTATCCTGAGCCCAGTTCCTTGGCGATGACATGCTTGCACTAGAGACCAGAGTGTTGCTCATCACGGGAGGAGACTGGACTGGACTTGAGTGTCCCGCTTCTTCTGAGGCTCACCAGGTAGTGAAGGGTGACAGGAGAAGGATTGGGTCACAGACCCCAGTGTCGTTTGGGGAGCACATCCTGCCGACCTCCTGCAGCACCATGCGCACCTTGCCCTGTTTACTCAGCCTAGCAGCTTGCTGAGCCTTCCTGTCTTTGAACTGTCAGTTAACAGGGCCTGCAGCTCTCCGCAGCCATGCTGGGTAGAGGAGGAGGCGGCTCACCGCATGTTTGTGCCTAGGCCCTGTCCCCTCCCAACTGCTGTCCAATCCTCAGGTTCCCCAGGAGCCAGTCTAGCCAAACGCCTGCAGCAGAGTGAAACACATTTCGGTGCCCGGCCCCGAAAGGCTGGTATTCTAATAGAGTGGCTTAGCTCCCGATCACAGCTATGAATGTTTTCAGTTTTTTTAAGGAAGTGTGTACATACCATATGCATGATGTATATAATTCCTCAAAGCAGTATTCTGGGCTTTTGAACTGTCCCAGTGGAGCAGGGACAATATTTCACTACCTTTCTGGAAATGTATGTTAGCAGAATGTTCAGGTTGCTCAGGACAGGCCGCAGGAGGCCTGCCGGCCTGGGACGGAAAGATGAGCGTCTTCGCACCAGAACTGTGTTCTTGTTTCCACGTGTCCTAGAGGGGGCGCTACTCGCCCTTGCCCGCTCTCCGTGAGACAGCTCCTGGAGGGGTGTGTCACTTCTTCTCTTCTTACCTCTGCTCCTCTCTGAAGCGGTGACTATCTCCTGGTGTTAGATTCTGCACTTTCTCACTATGTCATCATAGAAAAGGAAATGTTTGTACTTTATCTCTCTGAATCTAGGATAGATTTTCCAAAGAAACGTGCGTTTATGTGTTCTTGGCCCCACCTGAGAGATCCCTCTTCATAATTAAAATGTGCTGCTGTGGACAGGAGCAGAAGAAATTCCTCTGCGTTTCGTTAGGCAGCAAAGGTGGCACCCAACACAGCCAGTTTGTCCCAAAGAGCTCAGTTGCCATGGAGACGGAGATACCCCACCCCATGCCGTCAGCGGTGTTCACGTGAGTGTAATGTAGCGGGTGGGAGGTATGGGGAGCTATGCCTACGGACTGGGGATCTGCATCTGTCAGAGGAGTGGAGGGGGCCGCCCACGCCGGGACCCACGGGGCATGGCAGAGGGCCTTGAAGGGAGCTCTGCCCTCACCCTGTCTGGTGTTAACCACTAGAGGAATTTCAGCTCTGCCCTTTTGTAATGCCTGTGAATTTTAGTGGATTGAAGCATTCGACCAAATACTCAGGGGTTTATTTTCTTTCAGCATCCCTCAGATGTTCTAAATATTTCATTAGAAATGGAAAGCCATCATTTTTGTTGTAAAACTAACCTAGGCAATCTTGTAAAATGTCACACCAGACTCCTTTTTATTGCACCTGTATCTTGAATTTCACGGAACATTAATTCACAGTAGGGAGCAGAGAGTGATCTGTTGGTGAAACACATCTTGTACTATTTTCTTACTGTACTGTGTTCATATTATAACGTGTTTGAAAAGTAAACACATGGGCAGAACCGAAATCTTCATTACGCTTTTCATACACTGTGGCCTAAGATGTAAAATTTGTAATTAATGTTTGTTAATTTCTATGCATTTAATAGTCTTTTGTAATTATGAGCATTTTAATAAATTCATTTTTACAAACAATTACTGTGGTCCACTCTGTGTTTGTCTTAACAGTTTTTAAGGAAAACAAGTACATAATTGCTATTACTAAGGACCAGCTGTGCGGAACTTAGATGGCAAGTGTTGGCCTTTTAGGAGATTATGTCTAACGTTGTATTTTTTCACAGCTACCCTTACTCTGATCGTGGCTTCTCTTAGAAAAACTAAGGTTTCAGCCAGGACTGCCGTCCACAGATGCTGGGGCTGAGCTTTGAGAGCAGCTGAAGATCCGCCCACCTGTGCACGAAGCTAGCGAGGAAGCGGTGTGTTCCTCTAACCGTGTGAGGAGCGTCTTCTGCTTGCTAAGTGAGACTTCAGGGCACATCACCCAAGGAGGACAGATACGAGAGAGGCACTGTGTGGTCCACAGCAGCGCTGGGTACGGAATGAAGAAATGCTAAGAGATCACCTCATCACAAAAACTACCCTTCTTTATCCTTAACGTCTAATCCAGACTTTAGCTCATTCCAGCCTCAAATTTTCTTGGACAGTTTAAGACTCAGTAGACACACAACTTAATCCTGCAAGTCAAATACATTCCCTAGCTGGGACCACAGGAAGATGCCTTGTCTGGTCACGAAATGATACTCCTGGGGCCGGGACTAATAATGATCTTCCTCCATTCAAACGTTAAAAGCCTAGCAAAGGGGCTATTAGAGATTTATTTCTGAAGTAAAATGCCCCCTTCTCTCATGTGGGGAGAATGCTGGGCTCTTAAATAGTTGGTATCTGATACCGCCAGGCACCAGGCCATATGTTTCTTATTCATAATCTCACTGCCGATACGACTTTATCGCAGAGAACTTCTAAGCGGCTTTTAAAAAAGAGATTATGAAATAAGTATGTGATTATATAAGAAATATGACCTGTTGGTAAAAATCCCAAGCGTCAGAAAAAGGCTGCTCAAGGAAACTCCAGGCTCAGCCCGCTTTCTAGAGGTGCCGAGAAATGTGTGTCAGAGGCAGATTCTCTGCCCCAAGACTTCAGATTTAAATGAGATTTACAAGTACATGTTTGCAGTACGTAATGATCACATTTATTGTGGAGTGTGAGTACGTGTACTACCACATCTTTTTACTTCCCCTCCCTGTGCAGAAATCTCCCTGTGTTCTATTACATATTATTTTGCTCTTTAAGTTATTTATACTTACAGGACAAGCCATGCGATGTTTCAGTACTTTGGATTTTAAAAAGTTACACTCACTGAATTAAAGTGGCAGTCAGAGGAGGTAAGTCTTTGGTGAAGCTTTTAGGTTCAGCCCAGTTCATTCATAAATCTGACAGAATTTGCCTAGAACTTACAGACTTTGTGCCGTTGGTCCCACTTGTAAACTTAATGAAACGTTAAGATATCCACAGTAGCAGCCTGTGAGCTAGTGAAATGCTTTAAAGTACTTTGAGAGGACAGTTACGGAACACAAGTGCCCAGGACTCCCGTCACGAGGAACCAAGCGGCACGTGTGCGCTGTGACTGCACCGCGGGCGGGTGGTGAAGGGCGAACGCTGAAAATGAGTCAAGACTGGAGCCTCCTGAGACCCAGCATTTCAGCGGCACAGTAGCGAACAAAACGCCTTGGCATCTGCCACCCTGGCTCCAGTGCCAGGGAAGAGCAGATACCCCTTTGCAGGGGTAGTGATAAAATGCCAGCTAACTGAGTGTGGATGCTGGCGCTCCTGTCTACCGCAGAGCTGCCGGTGTTCACAGGCTTACAGCCGCCCGAGTAAGTAGCCTGGAATCTGCACAGCCGTCCTGCTCTGGAAAGGCGCTCACGGCCTCTCGCAGTGAGTTCCTAGGGGCTGTGGCCAGGAACCGTGTTGAGCAGGAAACCACGGTCTCAATGTGGACGGCTCTTGGGCTCGGAAGCCGCTGTGTATTCCTACCTCAGAGCACAGGCGTTCTGCCCACTGGCTCCGGTTAGCTGCCTCCCAGTGTCAACTTGGCCCAGTGAGTCTGACCCTGTCCCTCTCGGTGACCTGCAGTACAGGGGAGAAGGCTGTGATAGAGGGGAACAGAAGGCACACGCTCAGGACTCAGGAGAGCAGCAGCCTGCCCCCTTGGACCGGCGGCGTGGCCAGCGCGTGTGCACTCCTGCCCGTGCTAGGACTGAAGGTGGCACTCGGCTCCTACCGCGCCTCCCCACCGCCCTGTGCCCCGTCGCCTGTACACGGAGAGGTGGGAACCCTGAGGTCCCTGCTGCTGCCCCGCCCGTGGATGTGCTGAGGAGGCTTGCACACCTGTGGCTCTAACTGTGGCTGGCCCTGGGCACGCGCAAGAGGAGGGCCAAGGGCAGTGCTGCCTCGCTCCGGCCAAGGTCCTGTCCTGGGTGGGCCCCACCACCACCACCGCAGACAGGAGCGCCGTGCATCCTGCTGCCATCCCACCGTGTGGGTCCCGCCTTGCCTGACTGCACTGAGGTCAGCACTGGGGACACGGCCATTCCTGGGAGCGCCGCGGGCGTGGCTCCTGCAGTTCCTGCCACCGTCACTCCCCGTGCAGCACTTCTCCCGTGGGCCTGCGCCACCGACAGGTCAGAGGGCAAGTGCTTCAGGTCCTTCACCGCTGCCGGTGCTGCCAGTGCCGGAGACCCTTGCTGGGAGCAGAGCTGGCATCAACAGTGTGTGAAGGGAGCCCCATTGCCCGCAGGGCCGCCACTCCCACTGTAAGCGTAGCCAGCATCACACACACGCCACCCGTCACTGTCCGACAACACCTGCCTGAGTGCCAGCCTGGCCCCGTCCTGCGAGGCTCACAGAGACAGCTGTGCTCCCCAGCTCCCCAACTCTGACACAGCCAAAGTCAGGAATCACAGCTAAAGAATTGGGAGGGAGACCGCACTCTGGTGCCTGGCTAGAGTCAAAGCTAACATTGCCTAACAAACCATCTTTCCGATATACATTTTCAGGAGAAAGCCGCTTACTCCGAAGGCCACCATGTAAAAGTGGTAAAGGTATCCAAGCTACTGGATGGGCAAACCTCAGTGTAGGAACATGAAAAACAAGAAAAAAAGGACTAGGAGGCCTCCAAAGAATGTACTAACTCTAACAACAGATTCCAAAGAAATCAAAATGGAGGAAATGCCTAATAAAAAATTTAAGTGATTATGTAAAAAGCTCAGTGAGATCCAAGAGAATACAGATAAATGGTCAAATAAAATTAGGAAGAATTTCTGTGAATCAAATTCAGCAAAGAGAGAGATTTGGAGAAGAAATAAATAGAAATCTTGGAAATAAAGAGATCAGTAAGTAAAAAAAATGCAACTAAAGGCCTCCAAATCAGACTGGATCAAGGGGAAAAAGGAATATTAGAACTTGAAGTCGGGCCTTTGAAATGTCCAGCTGGAGGTGGGTTGGGAGGGAGCCCGGCAGGCAAGCCAAATGGAAAAGGAAAGAGAGAAAAACGAGTGCATTCTTTGGGACCACACTACATGAAGAAATGTCCACTTTGGGGGATACTGAATGGCAAGGAGAGTAGAATTAGTGGCACAGGTAAACCTACTCCATGAAATAATACCAGAAAACTTCTCTGATCTTGGAGAAGAGATAGACATCATGTACAAGAGGCTCGTAGAACCCCAGAATAGGCACGACCAAGAAAGACCTTCACCGTGGCATTAATTATAGGCAGACTGTCAAAACTGCAAGACAAAGATATGTGAGAGAAAGCCAAGATGGCCGAAAGATTGAACAGAGTTACCCAACACCCACCGGCCCCTCCACAACGAACCAAAGCAACAGGTGTACAATTGCATGTTAAGATGAGCGACGACAGGGTAACAGTGGAGAAACTGAAACCTGAAAAATCCAAAAACCTGGAACAGCAGCATAACAAGAGAAATAAAATATTCCATCAGCTGCCACCCTGAAAAAGTCCCAGTAAGCCCTACCAGCTTCTATGCTCACAACTGGGCAGTTTCATGGCCTCTGGAGCCTTACAGCGTAAATATATTTTCAAAACCCCAAACCTGCATAGCAATCTGGATTTGGAAAAGGAATTCACTCCCTGCCTAGCAAATACCTAGGATGCTGTAGCCTGGAGCACCTTGAGAAGGAAGCTAAATTGTCTGAATTTGGGCTTACAGCCGGAAGCCTGCACGCCCCCACTTCTGGAACATCAGACATTCCACTACTCTGGCTCAGCAGTCGCTGCCTCACAAGCCACTCACGGCTCAGCTGAGTGACTCAACACAAACGCACTAGGAGTCTACACAGCAGGGAATGGGTGCTGTGATGCGGAAGGGAAGGAGGGTGATGTCCACAAGAACTGGGGGCCTGATGTTGGGTGTGCACAGTCACGTGGGGGTTCGCAGGGTGCCAGGTCTAAGGGCAACTGCACAGTGCCGCTCCTGCCACCCCGCCCCAGCAGTGTGCACGGGTGTCTGTCACTAAGAGCCAGGGAAAAGCTGTTTCTACTGCTCCCTTATATCAAGGAGGCTCAGCTGAACATCTGCCTCCAAGACACACAGACTAAGAAGGTCCTGAAGAAACTTCAGGTGGCACCAGACTCATTCCACTCTCACTCTCTGCGAAAACACCTCAGTTGAGGAATTTTGCCTGGTTCAGCTGTAACTCACTCTTACTGACCCCTGGGGGCACTTCAAAGGAAAGGATTGCTGGCGGAGGTCCCAGGCGCAGCACCATCCAGAGGCATCCATAGGCATCCATAGTATCTGACGAGGGCTGAGCTCCTTCGCCTGGGTGAGTACACCCACAGTAGCATAGCACAATTTTTCCTGCATCCACTCTTATGCAGGCCCTCTGCATTGGTCACCCCTGTCCCTTGTGTGATCATGTCCTACTGAGAAGTCTCCAGAAATATCACATTCAGATAGAAATAAAGAAAAGTAAGAATCAACAAAGAGTGCTGGGTACAAGATCTTTAGGACATCAGTAGAAGGTCAAACATCTACATCACTGGCATACCCAAATGCAAAGAAATAAAGATTAAGAGCATCAAAAACCTACCTGAAATAACAACAGAAAAA